CGAACTTTGCTTAGCCAGAAAGAGAGGGTGAAATAGTCTAGATAATGGTGGTTTTGGATTTTGTGGCACAATTTTGGATTTTTTAACGGGCTCGCTTAAAAATTCCGAAATTGAAGTGAATTCCTTTCCCCAATTTTATCTCTGCATTCAAGGCTTAATAAATAGCAGCCAACTCAGTTTTAGAAAGTACATGAATTGCTCTTTTTAATATGGTTTTACTTTTGTAAGAACATTGTGTTAGGAAGAAGTTACGATTTTTTGAAAGTGGTGGGACAAAACTTTCGGACCAACCTAATATATACATATCATCGGCTCCCAGATTCGTGTGGAGGTGGAGTCTTGCCAACTCACCGCGTGGCGGTTTTTGCTAGCGAGAGATTACGAAAAGCAATGCTATGACGTGGAGGTTTAGCAAGTTTACATGTGCTATCAGGCAAAGTCTGCAATACACCTCCACACGAATCTGGGAGCCGATCATATATATTAGGTCGTTCCGAATGTTCTTTCCGTTTTTTCAACCTATCATAAAAACACGAGGAATGAAGATAGGGAAACGCTTCAGGCACTATCCGACGCAGCTTTTCTTCCTCTTTTCAAATGTCATAGTCCTGTGCGGCTTGCTCTTATGATCAGTGAGATAATGGCCAAAATTTCGAACCCATGGTTTTTACCATGTCCAACTTTGGCAATTTTTCGCTAACTTCTTTTTTGACTTTTGGAAAAGCTTTGATAGCAGTCGGATAAAGTAAACAAAATGCAATTTTATGCGGTTTTTTGGCATCTATAGCTAGCCTCAAAACATTTTTAGAATTATTTTTCTGATGCTATCAAATTCCACTTTTGGGGATGCCAAAAGCCACAGAACATAAAACGGCGCACAACTAAGGTGTCATTCGATGCAGCTTTTTCTCCTCTTTCTGATGAGTGCTTTCTCTTATTATTTTGTGGGGTCTTTGGCGATAAAATTTCCATAAATCTTGATTTTGAACCCGCCTCATGATGTATCCGTGCAATGCAAAATCTTATATTTCGAAGCGGTAAACGCTCAGTTACTTTGTAAAAATAGTGTACAATCATAAACAACTTTTGAAAGTTTCGAAAACCGAAGATTTGTTGATGTTCAGAGCGTTTGTGTGTTTTGTGAGTTCGAAAAAGTGAAGACTTTTGGAAAAGTTATCTAAAAAAATAATGAGAAGCCGGCTGAAATCGCCAAAAAATTGCATTGCATTGCATTTTATTCACTCTATCTGACTGCTGTCAAAGCTTCTCCAAAAGTTGAGAAAGAAGATAGTGAAAAATTGTCAAAGTTGGACATGGTAAAAACCATAGGTCCGAAATTTCGGCCATTATCTCACTGACCACAATAGCGAACGGCAAACGAACATAACAGTTCAAAAGGGGAAGAAAAGTTGCGTCGGCCTGAAGCGTTTCCCTACCTTCATTCCACGTGTTTTTATGATAGGTTGAAAAAACGGAAAGAACTTTCGGAACGACCTAATATATGTATAGGCGATGTCACCCCGCATCGGTCGTGGGTGTCCACGAGCTGAGGCTGCGCGCGCGCCGCAGGTGACAGAAACAATACTCGAGCGCCGAAGCGTTGTGGTTGAACTTGTGACCTAGGTAAACTCAATGCTTTTCCTTTTGTTTCCTTCGTTGGATAGATCCGACAGTTAAAATGAAGCATTGAAGCGATCGAACGAGAGATTCGATCACTCTTGCTTACGCAGAAACGAGATACTTTGCTACACATTTGAGAGAAACAGCGAAGACTGCAAGTTTTAACTAGCTCATGTTTCCTTGGCGTAAAAAGGAGCCAATGAAAGAACGAAAGAAATAACAAAATAAAGTAGACAAGGAGAATCATATGAAAACACTCCAGGTAATGATACACCAGTCGATGGTAGAAACCTTTCAAATTGTTGGAGACTTGAAGTCAGTGCTCTAGAGACATCATCATGAAAAACACTGCAATGAACAACGCGATGCTAATCTAATAGTTCCAAATCTACCTATCCAACATCGCTAGATGATCTGTCATGAGTAGTCAATCTAAAAAGTCCACTTTTCTTTAGATCCAGCGTTGTAGAAGCTGAAACCTAAAAGTATCCCATTGCTAAAAGAGCGAATATTACATGAAAGCACTCAAAGGAAGTCAATCGTAGAAAAAGACAAGATGACAATCGAAAAGAGCAAGGCGAATCAAGCGGTCACATATCCGACTTCATGCAGCTACCGCGCTCGCGTATTGTTTCCATCGCCTGCGGCGCGCGCGCGCAGCCTCAACTCGTGGACACCCACGACCGATGCGGGGTGATATCGCCTATCATAACTTATAATAACGGGCTAAGGATGTTTACGTGACTTTGTGTGTCTGTGTGTGTGTGTGTGTGAGTGTGTCTGTTACGAAATTCGTAGAGAGTGTTCCAGCCAACCTCCTGGGCTCAAATTTTGCACAGCGCATGCTATCCGCATGAAAGTCCAACACGCAAAAGCACGAGCAGATTCGTTGAGTGGATCCTTCAGAAACTGCGCGTCAAACGGATCCACTTTGCATTTGGGCCGCATGATTGGGTCCGTAATTCCACTTTTTGCAAAGTAGTGGATGTTTATGCCAAGTAAAAGTGCAAGTCATGAACTTAGACCCAAAAAAGTTCTCAAAAGTCCATTACTTTAGAAAAACGGCGCCAAAAAGTATTGGTTGCGTAAATGGTCAATTGGTCAAAGTTTTAACAGACCATTTGACAAGATTTTTGCACAAAGATGTAGCTCACGGTGACTGCTATTCTTACTGCAACTGTCAAGACCATGGAAAATGAAAAACCTTTAGAAATTTGCGTTTGTTCTCCTGCAAAAAGTCTCATCTACACGAAATCACCGATTTCACATAAAAAAGCTTTCGAAATGAGTAGGTGTTTACATTTTGTTCGTGATAGTCAGCATTGCTCGGTGAGTTTCAATGCCATCATTATGCGAGAATGAGTGGGGCCTAGATAGTAGAGCCAGTGCGAGCCTCTGCGAAGCAGAGGTGACGCACTGGTGTGTATATATGTACACATGTATGTACTATATGTATATATATATATATATATATATATATATATATACAGGGTGTCCCAAAAAATGTATCGAACGTTTGATCGTTAATATCTCTCTTCCCAAGAAGTCTTTTGCCTTGCTTCAGGTACCAATCTGTAGAGCTGGCTTCAACTTAGATTTCCATTATAGAACGAATCACCCATCTCTCTTCATTACTGTAGGATTACGGTAGAAACTTGAAACATATGGTGTCAATTTGGAAAAAGCTGCCGTTTCAAAATTTTTCAAAAAATTGTGAAAACTTGTGTAATAGGGTTTTTATAGACGCTGAGTTCAATACTCAGCTATTCGCAAGATTACGAAGCTTTCTAAACGGTGTAATCGCACTTTTTAGGAACATTGAAAAAAAGGCCGCTACCTCTCACCTGGCATAACTCTTCAATGAAGCATCATAACAAACTGGGAACTTTACAGTCATAATCAGCAACTCTAATTAGCCTAGTGTAAAAGTTTTGAGGCTGTTTTGTTTCCTTTCTGAGGCAAAATATAGCCTTTCATTGCTTAAAACCCTCTTTGAAGTTTCTACCGTAATTCTACAGTAACGAAGAAAGATGAGTGATTTGTTCAATAATGCAAATCTAAGTTGAAGCCAGCTCTACAGATTGGTACCTGAAGCAATGGAAAAGACTTTTTTGGAAGAGAGATATTAACGATCAAACGTTCGATACATTTTTTTGGGACACCCTGTATATATATATACGTGTACATATATACACACATATATACATATATATTTATATATATGTATATATAAATATATAATGTATATTTATACATGGACTTATAAGTACATACATATATGTAATGTACAGCAAGTAGGGATATAGCGAAATTACTACTGCGAGATAACGCGCTCCAGTTGCGTCCGGACATCAGGATGTGTCGCCCTCGAGCTGCCGCTAATTCCTGCAAGATGCGGGTCGCGCCAAGGGGTGGTCTAGAGCAGCATTGTTCCGACACCTAATGCTGTCTCGGGATTTCGTCGCGAGGCCGATTAGTTGTGTCGCGCCTTCATTCAGCGCTTACACAAGACTTTGGGCTGCGCGAGTCAACAGCGAGTGTCTGAGAGTGATAGTCGGTGCGTGCGCTCCCCGTTTGGCGCCTTGTGGTGCGCGCAACCCGCAATGTATCGAAACAGCTCCTTCCGCAAGTTACTAGAGAATAAGTTCTTCATTAAGCTTCTTTTCTTCCTTGTCGTACCGTGAGCATCCTCAACTTCACATTCCAAAAAATTCCGAATTTAGAAATTTCGAAAATTTGAGTTTGAATTTTAGAAAAAACTCAGCGAGGGGTAAACTCCGTAGAAGCAGAAAACCTCTTATGTTCTTGCGACTACCCAAATGCCAAAAAGTGATAAACCAGATTCACGAATGATGGAGCAGCCTAATCACAGCGTCGTACCTCACGCAGGTATCCATTAAACTTATAGCATGTGGGAAACGGAAGCGCGCGGGCAGCATGGTGAGAAATTGTGCGCGCGAGCCGTACGCTAAGGATTCAGGGCGAGCGGGCCGCACTGCTGACCATAAGCAAGCGCGCGCCACACGCACCGAATGTCAGAGTAGAAAATGCAGTAGGTAAGGGTTTTCAGAGTTTATAGAGGGAATTTTACATGCTAATTATTGCGATGATACCCATTTTACACAGCAAGCTTCCTTGGTGACCTTATGATATGTCAAGGTAAGAGTTCGAATTTTGGCTGAAACTCGATAGTGGAGTTATAAGCGCTCGATGCTTGGCAAGTTTGGACATTCAAACGCTCATAACGTCTTTCGGAAGCTTATTACGTAAAAACGGAAAGCAGATCTGGAATCAGCGTCCAAAGGCGCGTTTAATGATACACATCTCATTTTCAATCACCGACTAATGCTGGTATTTTTCCCTTGTAAGTAAGCACTTACATGATTGTCGTCCATACATTTGCTCTTCCGTGGCTTCCTTGTTAGACTTTCCCGCTTTACCGCGGTTGCACATTAAGGTAGTGTTGATTATCATTGCAAGTATAATCTGGCCATAGATATGCTCCTTTGCGTTAAGCCTCGGACAGAGTTCACGCGATTTGATCATTGCGATTCAGTCGCTACAAGACAACTGTTACGAGCATAGTTGCGATAGGGGGAGTGATGGATCTTACCCCCTTCACTTTGAGGCCAAACTCCCGATGACCCCCTTCACCTGGGCTGAGATTGGTATTGTACTCTAAGAATATGATAAAAATCGTTATTAAAAGGTTTTGCAGGCTAAGTACCTCAAACAACAAGTGCACTCATAAATTTACTAAAGAAACGGTATTTATGTTTATTTATATTATTTATTTATCCTCATAGCATTTTGAAGAGCAGAAAGTGAGGACACAAAATCAGTTAATTTTTGAAGCACATAAAATCTCTCATATCTCGCGGCACAGAAGACCTAGAAAAAAGTGGACAGTATAAGTCGATTCTCCATGATCTCAGCTTTCGAATGGTATAAGCATGTTAGGGCTTCTTTGCTTCCCGGCTCTAAAAATCATTTGCTCCGGTAACCGATAAAAGCCAATACATTGGTGGAGCTGGGTTGGAGCAAGCTAATAGTAAATATCTCCACCCCGTTTTTGAAAACTGGTTAGTTTTTTCGCCCAGCAACCTATATGCCATTCGAAAGCTCAGGAAAAGGGGATTCGACCTAGACCGTCGACTTCTTTCTAGCCCCCCTCTACCGAGAGACACACCGCATTTTATCTGAAAACATGGTCATTTTCAACAGCAGATTTCTGCCAAATGAAAACCTAATCACTGCTGGTTATCTATCTGTGTTCAAGAGCAAGTTTTCATTAACAAACGTAGACCGTCGACTTTCTCGTAGCATTCATTTGGAGAGCAGAAAGTGAGGACACAAAATCAGTTAATTTTTGGAGCACATAAAATCCCTCATATCCCGCGACACAGAAGACCTAGAAAAAAGTCGACGGTCTACGTCGTTTCTCCATGATCTCAGCTTTCGAATGGTATACAGCATGTTAGCGCTTCTTTGCTTCCCGGCTCTAAAAATCATTTGCTTCGGTGACCCATAAAAGCCAACACATTGTATAGGTCGTCCCGAAAGTTTTTGCGCACGATTTTCAAAAATTCATAACTTCTGATTTTTCCAACCGATTCGACTGCTTTCACTTTTATGTGAAAGGGTAAGTCATGCTCTTTATAATGACATCTCAGCTGCTTAGTAGTGGTCATCTGTTGCATAGATAGAAGCTCAAAACCAAAATCACTCAAAATTTGAATTTTTGTGTAGGGTCATAAAAAATCAGAAACTTGCAACAAAAATCGGAGCAGTCGGTATTGTAGGTTCTTTCACCAGCTCTTTCTAACAGTGCAAAGTTTGCTCCGATTGAGCGTCTCCATGAAAAGTTATGATTTTCGAGCAAGCAATACAAAAAGGCGAATTTGATTTATTTTGGCATTTTTCAGGGAAATCATAACTTTTCATGGAGACGCTCAATCGGCGCAAACTTTGCACTGTTAGAAAGAGCTAGTGAAAAAACCTACAGTACTGACTGCTCCGATTTTTTATGACCCTACACAGAAAATTAAAATTTTTACCATTTTTCTTCTATCGCTCCTATCTATGCAACAGATGACCATTTCTAAGCAGCTGAGATGTCAATATAAAGAGCATGACTTACCCTTTCAAATAAAAGTGAAAGCAGTCAAATCGGTTGAAAAGATCAGAAGTTATGAATTTTGAAATTCATGCGCAAAAACTTTCTGGACGACCAAATCAGAGCGAGGTGGAGCAAGTTAATAGTAAATAATGTGCTGTGAATTGACATCGTTATCAGCACTAACGGAAACGTGAGCTAACGCATCTATTTAAGCGTGCTTATCGTTGTTGTATGTTTATGTTGTTTTTTTTTGATAAAAAATGCGCTTTTGATTGACGGTTATGCCATCATTATTAGCACACACTCAAAAAACTATGGGATATTGGTGAATTTCCACACCTTCACACAAAAACCCGCCCATTTGTGGAATCTATACTCTGTAAACCTAGTGCTGAAGAAGGTCACTTTCGTGAAAACGCTCTAGACTCATCTTACCTAATTTTTAGAGAATGGTTGGTTTCAATGAATCAAAAACTCTAAGACATTCAGAAGAATAACATGATATTAAAATATCCCTCAATGTTTTGGAAAGGTTGGCAGTTTGAAGAGGAAACGGCAGGCAGAATACTTTACAAAATCGCAGATGACTCGCATATGTTCCAGTTCAACAGCGAGGCAGAAGGAGAATCTTACGCCGACGAAAATGTTGTCGACATTGATACAGAGTTGACAATTAAGCGAAACTCTCTGATTTCCTGCATAAGGAATCCAAGCAGACTGTCTAGTTTCAATGAGGAAATGTCCAAGAATTCCATTGCTGATCTTCAGGTTGCTGAAGAATTCAAGGCTGCTAAATTCACAAACATGGATATGAACAAAAGGAAGGTGTTAGTACAAAGCATAGTTACTGCACTTAGATCCCCGCTGGAGTGCGAACCCAACTCTGTGCTTTATGCTTTTGTATGACCTATGATATTGAGAAAAAAACCAACGCGCAGCATAGTACCTCCTTTTTTCGGCTATTCCGCAGATGCTGTTAAAGAAGAAGTTGAGCAGCTTTCTAATCAGCTAACAGGACGTATGCCAGAGGAGGTGAAGCCAGAGTTCGACAAGGCCCAAAAAAGTATGCACTATTTCCTTCCCGTGTTGCGAAAGCATATGTGATCTGGCTCTTTTCCATTACTTACCGCAAAAATCTGATGGACTTACTAGCAAAGCTAATTTCCATTCCGACTAGCATAGCAGAGATGGAGAAAGAAATTTTCTATTTACTCTGTTATCAGAACACAACGCAGAAGTCGTTCAATGATAGAGCATCTAAGCAAATACTTAGGATTTGTCAACCTTTTATTAGGTTGTCCGGAAATTAATGTCCGTTTTGAATTTCAACTGCAAAAAGTCAAACACTTTTCATTCTTGATTAGGCTTCAAAGTATCATTCGATAGAGCAAAGCAAGCTCTACAAGATGGCTATCATGCTTTAGCAACAGCTCTGATCTACCTCAAGTTTCGAGCCAAAAACTGAAAGGATTTAACTGCCCGAAAAATCGAGAAAAATCATAACTCAGTTCATAAGAACCCTACAAAAATTCTAACTTGCTCACGTAAACACTATCCACATAAGACATATATGTACGCCGTTGCGGTATTTTTTCCTCTTTTAGAAAACAAAAGAACGGAAATTTTCACGCTTTTGCCAAAGTGATGCTGTGCCGTCCCCATATAAGTAGATGTATACTACAAATCTGTAGAAGTACAAACGTGGACTTTTGGCTCCCTACAAGCTTTAGTTCTCGAGAAATATCAAATATAGCTTTCATTAGTCAGGTGGTCCAAACTAAAATTCGAACTTCTCGAAAACTAAAGCCTCTAGAGAGCTGAAAATTTACGTTTGTACTTCTACAGGTTTGTAGTATACAACTACTCATGTGGGAACGGCACAGGATCACTTTGGCAGAAACATGAAAATCTTCGTTTTTTTGGTTTCTAACCGAGAAAAAAATACGGCAACGGCGTACATATACGTCTTATGTGGACAGTGTTTACGTGAGCGAGTTAGAATTTTTATAGGATTTTTATGAACTGAGTTATGATTTTTCTCGTTTTTTCGGGCAGTTACATCCTTTTGATTTTTGGCTCGAAACTCGAGGTAGATCAGAGCTGTTGCTAAAGCAAGATAGCCATCTTGTAGAGCTTGCTTTGTCCTATCGAATGATAATTTGAAGCCTATTTAAGAATGAAAAGTGTTTGACTTATTGCGGTTGAAATTCAAAACGGACATTAATTTCCGGACAACCTAATACTAAACACATTGTTATTCAAAAACTTCATTTAAAGGATTCATATAAGTGGTCCAGACAGGCTGTTACCGTATGACTTTTTGAAATCATCTACTATAATAATTCGCAGGGCCCCCCATCAAGTGTAAACATGTGGCTATGTACAGCGATGACGTCACCACAAAGGGTGCCACATGTTTACCGTTTTGGGTTTATGAGCACCGGAACGGTCGAAAGCTCACAAAGAATCAAAACAAGAGAGTCGCAAAACCAAATGAGCAAACTTTGCCTGACAGTTTTTGCATCTGCCAGAATTTGAAATGGCTTCGTTGCTTTTTTGAAAATCATCTACTATATTAATTCGCAGGGCCCCCCATCAAGTGTAAACATGTGGCTATGTACAGCGATGACGTCACCACAAAGGGTGCTGTTTACCGTCTTGGGTTTATGAGCACCGGAACGGTCGAAAGCTCACAAAGAATCAAAACAAGAGAGTCGCAAAACCAAATGAGCATACTTTGCCTGACAGTTTTTGCATCTGCCAGAATTTGAAATGGCTTCGTTGCTTTTTTGAAATATCGGCTGTTCTGATCTCACTTCAAACATTGCTTCCATATCAATAGGCGTTGTTGGACAAAACCACTGCCACCACTGCTTTTTGAAAGGCCATTTTAAGCTTACCTTCATCTATACGAGGCATTCCTCAAATGTCACCCAAGACTTTTATGCCGATCTGCTCGGTTCATTTGTCAAGTATACGAGTTAATTACTCTCGTAACTTGATCCCTCTACCCTAAGTTTCTTCCCTTTGTACTAACATAACAATTCTGACTAGATATTTATCATTATAACAAATGTGAGGGAACATAATTGGGGAGAGGACCACCGAGCACCCGGGGAGTGCCAGCTCATCTGAAGTTGGTGGCACCGCCCAAGTCGGCGAGGGGACTGTCGGACTCTAATTAGTCTGCGTCTCGACATGTCCGTTCCATGGCAAAGCTCGTCCTCGAGCTTTTGAAGTTTACCATGGTTATTTTGGAGTTGTCATCAGTGGAATCGCTTGGAGGTTGCCCATATGCATGGTTGCGATGTCATCATTGAGTTGGACGTTGCCCATATGTACAGTTGACGTTGCCCATACGTGTAGTTGATGTTGCCCATTTACCGTTTGCTGCTTCGGTTGAGGGTAGACTTGCTTCAGGCGTTAGTCGCTGGATTTCTTCACAAGGACAGGGGGAAAAGGGATGTGAAGGCACGCTTTCGCACGCCCTGTCAGAAGAATGAGCTCGTCTCGAGCTGAAGAATGGGAGCAACATGGACGAATGATGAGATGATTCAAATGATGAGCAAATCGGGGTACGGATGAGGCTTCCGTAATCCTTTGGGGAGGCGGACAGGGATTTCCACATGGTGGTAAAATGTGGCAGAGGGTATAGGGAGGCGGACAAAGACCGCACTGGTGATGAAATGTGACATACGGGTATATGATGACATCCGTGAAGAATATAGTGAGCATTGTTGTAGAAAACGAGGTTACTGGCATGGAATAATATATAAATCGACAGCAATTGACAAAACGAATTATGTTCGAAGACGGCGAAGGAACGGAATGTATACCTCGAACATTTGCCGTTACAGAGCAGGGTAAGCTATGATATGGACATGTAATTTCACAGGATATTGACATTTTTTTTCTAACCTGCAAGCAACTCAGGAGGGAACACTTCCCTAACGTTGATTACAAGGGCGTGGGTGAAAAGTGATTGACTGAAAGCCTTCTCCGAGCCGCCAATCAGAGAAGTATTTCTTTTTATAGTGCGATGGCTTGCGGGCAAACTTACAAGTGTCACTAGCTGCTGCGTAAAGGGAAAAGATGATTAGTATTGCTAATGACACTTTATGTTCTCTAACAAGAATCATTCCATTTTTTGTCTCAAACGCTCTGAACGTTTGGGATAAGGCTGGAACCTTTTCTGGAAAACTGTTTTGCAAACATGAACATGAATGATTTTTTTTTGTTTTTGGTTAGAGTAGATAAATGACAAAATTGCACAAAATTGTATGAATACAGTATATTAGCAGAACACTGAAAGCTAAGAAATGAATACCTCTGTGACGAAGTTGGATAAAGATGATCAGTAATTATCCAACTCGCTTCAGTAGTCGAGAATCATCTGCTCCAGAGCTGCATAACCTTTTTACGAATAAGTAATTAGGTGAACCTGACCTGAGCGCAGACTAGGCAGTATTGTTTTACTGCTTGAAACGGATTCCGCTGAGCTTAGGAGAGCTCCTGGCGCCTATATGCCACTCAAGATTAGATAATGACGCTCTGAATCGGCGTGACTGGGAAAAAGGGCCTCTGGTAACCCCATGGGCTATCACATAGCCTATGGAATCACCATAGGCAACATAGCCTACGGACTATCCACAGGCGTCTAGATCGCCTGTGGAACTGCGGCAATTACAAAACGGCTATGGCAATTAAACACAATTATAAAAATTTTATACATATGTACAGTGCCGGCGTTGGCGATAGAGTCCCTGAGTTTGTGTAAAAAATAACAATGGAAAGTGAGGAAGAAGAAAATAAATGATTGAAAATAATGTGTAAAGTTGTAGGCGAAATATGGTGAAAAATGGTTGTGAAAATGAGTTTTACATGTTTTGGAAAGATAATAGATTATGAAAGAGAAAATGTGAAAGTTACAAAATAAAATGTTTTGAAAAAATGAAAAGTTTTAGATTTGTTTCTAAATAAATAGGGTGGGGAAAGGGGGCTAGAGGAAGAAAGAGTAAATATTTACGGTTCTTCACGTGGTATCACGGTAAAAACTGTAAGGAATCACAGCAGACAAAAAATATCATATACCATATTCAATATGGTAATATATTCGTTATCTGCTATGAAACAAAAAAGACTGTCAAACACACAGTAGGTAAAGAATACATGATTATATTCATTACCCACTATGACACAAAAAAATATGACAAAATAAGAAATAAAACACACTCAGACCCATCGCCTGGACTCAAGGGAAAAGATAAAAGGAAGGGTAAATATAAAAAAGGGCTACGTAATTCACGTAGGAGATGAGGGCTGGTGCCGGTGGTGAGAGTATTCAGCAGAGATTGGCCTAATCTATGCTTAGATTTTTTTTTAGTGAAAAAAGTTATGCGACAAAAGTTCAGAAAAACCCGGGACCTCCATGTCAAGTATACGAGTTAATTACTCTCGTAACTTGATCCCTCTACCCTAAGTTTCTTCCCTTTGTACTAACATAACAATTCTGACTAGATATTTATCATTATAACAAATGTGAGGAAACATAATTGGGGAGAGGACCACCGAGCACCCGGGGAGTGCCAGCTCATCTGAAGTTGGTGGCACCGCCCAAGTCGGCGAGGGGACTGTCGGACTCTAATTAGTCTGCGTCTCGACACATTGAATTTTTACAAAAATCCATTACCATTCTTATGTGATACTGCGCTGTTGAACAGTTTACATCTGAAAATCTGCAGTGATCGGTTCTTAAATTTTACGTCGTTCGTGCATAGAGTATAAGTTGTTTTTGATCAAGAAATTCGCATTTTGAAATTACAAATCTTTCGAAAATGTAGTAGTCGTCTAAAAAGTAAGTTGATTTATCATTTTGCACAGAACCAGCCTCAGTTCTTACGGTTAGATATTGAAATGCAGTGGTTCAGCTAAGGCTCTAATGTCAATAATAATGAAAAGCTGACTGCCTAAGCAGCTGGGATGAAATGTAAGCTGACATCCGACATTAGTAGAGGATGATTTCCTATTTTGTTGAGAGAGACGACCAGGAACATTGATCAAGAAACCAGCGTTATGGACAAATACAACTTTTTTGCACATGATCCTTTTCATCTGCATTTTGTTTGAAATGGCTTTGAGTTTTAATCTAAATACCGAAAAGTTGTATGCGATACGACTTTTGCTAAGAGAGAGGTGAAATTTTGGAGAGGTGGTCATCGCGAAGATTACTTCCCTCTTAAAACTCCAAAAAGAGCCTCCAACAGCAATATCATTACAGATGCTGTGTACTTAGCTCTGTCTGGACGAGCGAAAGCCACGTTTTGATGCAAACTTTTGTTTTAAATATTTTGGCAGTTTTTTTCGCCAATGACCCACACATTTTGAGTGCTGCCGCAGAGCTTCACTGATTGCAAAAAGAGTGGGTGCGAAAATACAAACCATGGTGGTCAAAGTTTTTCTTCTGATATATTACACGTTCAGATCGTGCTTTCTAAGCGCTATTCACTGAAAAATTAAGAAAGAAGATCATTATGCAGACATGAGCTAAGATCATCACAAAAAAAGATTTTTGAGATCTTTAAAGACATCTGCCACGAGTGCTGCGAAAATTCACATCGTGTACCTAGAAGTATGGCAATGTTTTTCGGAACATTGCCATTGCGTACAACTTTAGACAAGGCTTGGAAAGAGTCATTTTGAATGCGCAATAGGAAAAAACTATGGAGTGGCGATATCTTCGAAGGTGTGCGATACGATACGGCTAACAAATCTTAGCTTAGCAATAATAATTTCAGAGCCTCTAATTTTTCTGAAAAAAAAGCGTTAGCGGAGATTGCCCCTTGAGAAGGGGCAATCTGAGACTGTTCTGAGTAACGAAGGGACAATATAGTGCAAACATTATCCAACGGGTTATAAGCACAGTACGCGAAGCGGCATTGTCTACACAACTAGAAAAGTGCCACGAACACTCCCAGTGCTTAACTTTATATTTTATTAACTTACAAGATCAAAGTGCCGCGTAGCGGCACTTTGGTCTTGTATCCTAAAAGATGGTATGAAGAAACTGGTCACCTACCTGCTGACTTCCTGGTGCTACCAGAGGGCCAGGAAAAAAATCACAAAAGCGCTTAGAAGAAGAAGAAAGTTTCAAATCTATTTTCGACTCAGAAAGCTTTTGCACGCAATTCTACTTCTACTCCGATGACCTTTTGGAGGAAGAAGAAGATTTTTCAGGCAGCGAACTTGTTGTCTCTGACGTTAGCGATAGTGATATTGTTGATGATGATGTGCAGGAAATGAAGTTGTTCCTAACTTGCACATCTTTTGGGATAAACCTTATTGCTTTCGTTTTTTGTTGATGCAGTAAAACAGGAGCACAGATCTTCATAATCAATTTTTTTTTAAATTTTTTAATTTCTTTTGAAAATTTTTGAATTTTTTTCAATTTGTGCCTATATGAAGTACAGATTAGAGCTCTTCATACCACGCTTTTTTACCTTTTCTCTCTTCCTCCCCCCCCCCCCCCCCCCAGACTCACATACCCCCTTCACCCTGGAAGGTCGGGAACAGCCGAGACCCCCTTCACCTGGGGAGAGCCCGGCTCCCCCTATCGCACCTATGGTTACGAGTTCATTGCACGCCGGTCAGCTTGCATTTCGGTTATGATGCTTTTTCAGCTCGAAATTTTTGAATATAAAATGAAAATCAATGAAAATCGCGGCGATTAAATCGCGACGATTAGATCGCGTGAACTCTGCCCGAGGCCTTAGTCAGCAAAGCGGCAGTAACATTGTAGCAAATACCATTTTCGAAAACTACTTTGGAGAGTAAGCAACACACCTTGATTACGACTAATCGCAGTATAATATCACCGAAGAGATCAACCATTTTTTGGTCTACAAGAGTAAAAAATGATTCTAACCTGTTGTTCTTGTTATTCGTACATGGGAATATGCTGTCAACCTTATCAAGAATTGTTATAATTTATTTGCTACGCAAGACCATGACTGACAATTCACACCTAGGAATCCACTGTGATAATTAAAACCAAAATTACAAAACCATAAAAGTACATCGAACATTCTCTCAACTTCACTGAATAACCATGTCCATGCAAGTGCGACCCTGCCTGTTTATAAAAATGACATCAACCAGGTTTCCTGACGAGAGGTATCTCTGATAAGCTGAACATTTGGAATCAATTCGTACTGTATTATTCTCCATCTTAACAAAAAAGAAGATAAATTGCAGTGCTCAACATAGTTGAATGGATGCATGTTACTAACACGGAAAGAAAACAAGTACTCATTTTTGGGTGCTATATAACTTTGGATGAATCGAACTTATGAACTTTTCCTATTGATCACTGAGTTCAACATCTCTATTGAAAAGAAAGTCCACTGTAATGCAAAAATTAACAATAATGCAGATGTGACTTGATCTGAGCTGTAAGGCTATCATGCAAAACTTTTATGCACAGACTATGCTGTTGCAGGTGGTGGATTCTCTAGCGCATTATCCAGCATCTGATCCTCTTTCGCTATCGCCTTCTGGAAAAGTAAGAAAGTTATGCAGAACTTTGCATAGAATACTCTAATATTCCGTTCATTAGTACGAAAGGAAAATCACGGAACAACACAACAAACCCTTTGATCTTCAGCAGAATCTGCAGGGTTGTTCTGTTGCGTGGTGTTTGACTCTACATCAGTCGTTGATGTTACCATAGCTTCCTCCGATCCGTTTTTGGGATTGGATTGGGATTGTACTGGTTCATCGTAACGAGGGGACTACAATATTTGTACTATTTTACTGCCAACACTACTAAAACAAGCTCTCAACATTTGTTTTATAGAGTCTTACCTCTCTTTCCTTCGACCTATGGCGGTCACGGTCGTCTCTTTCGCGGCGACCTCTATCGTTCCTTTCCTCTCTTTCTCGATCTCTTCTTCGGTCAGTCTCCCTATCCCTTTCCCGATCTCGATCATTCTCTCTGTGCCTATCACGCTCCCGATTTCTGTCTCCAAGGTTTCTGTCTCGCTCGTCCCTTTCGCTTCTACGTCTGTCTCTCCCTTCCCAGCGATCAGGCCCACGATCATCGGAATCTCCCCAACGACTTCTCCTTTTGTCGCCTCTGTTATCATCACGCCGTCTGTCTCTATCAAATTCTCTGCCCCTTCCATCTCTTCCGTCATTATTCCAAGGTCTACGCGGAGGACCATCTCTAAAGTTTCCACGATCGCTTCTGTCATTCCAAGGTCTCCTGCCATCCCTGTCCATATCGCGCCTGTCATCGTTCATGCCTCTCGCCGGTGGCATATTTGGAGGTCCTTCTCTGTTAAAAGGGCGATCTCCATGAAATCCTCCTCCACCTCTTCCTCCAAATCCGCCTCCGCGACCTCCCCTGAACCCGCCAAGCCCAGGTCCTCCGAAACCTCCTCTCATTGGCTGTGAACCAAAGTTTGATGGAGGACCAGGCGGTGGACCCCCTCCTCCCGGAGGGACGGGAGGACCTGGCCTGGGCATTCCGGAAACACCAGGCATTGCAGGGGGCATAGAAGCTGGTGGCTGCATGGACGGCTGTGGTGGCATAGAGGACGGAGGTGGCATGCCACCTGGAGGATGCACTGGTGGAGGCATAACCATACTACCCGGACCACCGGGAGGCATGCCGAACATCTGGAATATATAAAACCTCAAGTTAAGATGCACGTAAGCCAATCATGAATAGTAAATCACCTGGCCTGGCATACCCGGCGGCATTCCAGAAGGTAGTGCAGGGGGCATGGGTAGTCTCATGCCAAAACCGGGAGGGGGAACCATCTGTGGAGGTGGTCCCATAAAAGAATGTCCACCATGGCCTGTATGTGACGAACCTAAATTGTTCAATGGTCATCATTTTTTCAACGGGTAGATTAAGCATTCAATAACCAGCGATATGTAATACACTGGAACTCAATCTCACCCATGAAAGGGGGAAATGATGACGGCGGTGGTACTGCTTGTGGTGGCGCATGATGCACTGGTTGCAGCACTGCCGGTGAATCGGGCACTAAAGATTTTATGGGAGAGGCATGCATGGTTGTTTGCGGCGAATGTGGTGATGAGGTATCAGTTTTAGTTGGAGCAGCATTACTAGACGGAGTTGTGACTTTCGCGCCCGTGTCGGTCAACAAACCTGGAACAGATTTGTCCTGCTATGCAACGGAAAGCGAGCTCTTCAGTCAAATCAAGCCTACTTCTCTTTTCTGGTGGAAGCGTTTCCACATCCAGATAAGATCCCTCACAGAATCGTTCCATGTCACTAGGCAATTCATTCCAAGGAATTAGTGAGAGACCTCGTTCACTATCCCAATACTTGGCCAGTTCGTTTGCCTTCATTCCAGCGCCTTTCGCCCAGTCGACCTGGCGTGAAGTGCATAAATATATATGACAAGCTGGAAATGTCAACTACCTTCACGACTTTCCTCTGAATTTGCAAATCTCCCGCCAGCCGCTGCAACACATCGTAGGCAGCTTTTCTTGAGCTCATAGTGACGTAAGCACAAGCCCGAGAACTGATCAAATTAACTCGTGTAATTTCACCAGCACTTGCTATTGCCGTCTAAATAGGCGTAATGAGGTGGAAGATAGCCTCCAGCACATTGAACGGTGCACTCACCCTAATGTCTGTGTCACTGCAATTTACCGGTAGACGACCAAACCACAGTGTTTTGGAGGCAACTAAGCAGATAAGATTATGAGAGGCGGAGACTAGCAAAGAAAAATGGTGGAATGACTAGGGAAGCCGAAAAGGAGGAACGCCAAGGTGTTATCACAGAAGAACACATATGAAAGTAAACCAAAACCCTCTTTCCTCTGACTGAACCCAACTTCCTGCCGATGTCTCGTCAAGACTGAATCTATTAAGGCGCAAAACAAACTTATGGACTCACCAGTGGTAAGACCTTCTTGAATGGCAGGCAATCCAAGTTTTTTTCGTTCGCGGTCAACTTTTTCTGTTTTCCGCTCTTTCGATCTACTTCTGCGCCGCTTATGATCGCCACGATCTCGCGATCTGCTTCTTTTGCGATCCTTCTTTCTCGCATCCTTGTCGCTCTACAAAAAGATTGATTACTCGTAACTTAGTAAACGAAGTTCCTTTACATCGTTATCATCTGTCATCATGGGCACAGGTGCAGCAGGAAGAGTGCCAAGAAGCTGTCCTGGAGCTGCTCCTAATAGGCCCAATCCCGAAGGCGGAGGAACACCACTCAACGCGGCACTGCCACCAGCAGAAGCAAGCTGTTGCAAGATTTCCTGAAATAAGCAGACTTTTCAAGCTCCATGTTTCTAAAACTGTACCTGTTGTTTAGCCAACTGAGCCGGATCAATCCCTCCAGCTATTGAAACAGGGGTCCTTGCATTCGGGAATGGCAAATTGGGCAAGTTGCCAAGTTTCGACACCTGAAACACACTATTTGTAGACATGACGTATTACTATGTTATCAACGACGTTTTGATAGCAAGAATGTGCACTCAACTCTGCGAATATCAAGTTAGTCATATGAAAAACGCTAATCACTTATATGAGCAACGATGCCGAGATATTCTCCGTATATGTTTTTGAAGGTTTATCAGCACAAATCAAGTCCTTCACCATGATAAGCAAACCAAATCAAGCTGACAGACAAGGATAGATAGCGAACCTATGTATAACTATTATATATCACGTATGGAAAATACAACACTTTTTGAACCGATTGATATGACTTGCTTGCTATTTGATTAGACGCGAGAATCTCCGCTTCTCAGTATTTTTGTACACATTAATAGTAAACGGTTAGCCAGAAGGCCATGATTGAGACATGATTCACACTAACGGTGAAACGACTCAGTCGATTTATTCAACGCTGCATCAAAAGAAAGCCGACGCGATTCGATGAACTCTGGCATAAGCATTCTTATACACATGCGAATACTAACCGAATCCTACTGGCTAACTTCGGCAAACTAACAAAAAAAATTATAAAAGAGAAACCCTCAACAAGAAAACTGAAAAGAGAATAAATAAGTTCAACTGACCAATGAATTATTAGCCAGTAGATTTAATAGAGCTTGATTGTGCTGCTGTGCATTTCCAGGATTGAGCGCTGACAAGTGTGCAAGATTCAGTGACGGAAGACCTGCAAGATTCTGCAGACTGGGTAAGCCTTGGACGCCCTGCAAGGTTGCGAGGTTCGGCAGTCCAGCCTGGAACAGGCTAACGTCCAGAAACTAAATCATTCCTCGATAATTACAACGCATGCATTGAGATCAAAAGAACTGCAAAGCCTACCGGAAGTCCTTGAGGAAGCGTCAATCCCGGTGGCAGACCTTTCGGTAGGTTGATTCCTTGCAAAGCGGCAGCAGCTGCTGCTGACGACAGATTAGGCGTTGTGCTACCAGGCAATCCCGAAGAAGCCGTCGTTGTTGGGGTATTCGCAGTTGCGCTAGCCGCAGCAGCGAGAGACCGCTGTTGTGCTTGCGCAGCAATCTGAAAAATCAAACAAAGTAAGAAGATTAGTGGACGAACGGTGAGCGATGAGCCACTAATTTGATAGTATAGAAACAATACATACTTGATTGAGAGCAACGATTCGCTCAGCATGCATGTGTTTGAAAGCCGCGATCACGTTTGGATCTTCAATCAGGTTCCGTGCAATGCTGCAAAATATATCTACAGCAGACAAAACAGATGCGGCTTAACAATGTGACACGCAGTATGTCAAATTTGTGTTGCAATGAAGAGAAGAAAACGAACTTCAACAAGTCCTCTTGACACACTTCCTTAACCTTTTCAGGCCTTTTCGCTTTCTTATTTTCGTCGCCATCATCTTCTTCATCACTATAGTCGAACTGACTTGATAGCAGGTCCTAAAAACTAGAGTCTTCCTTCAGAATCACTGCGCTACTACTAACCTTGATTTCCGGCTTCTCACCCACTGATCGTATTCGTGCGTCCAGCGCACGCGCAATAAGCTAAAAGAAAAAATATTTGCAGAATTCTGAATGAACAGACAATGATGATCACTACCCCATGTGCTTTCCTCAGTAAAACAATATCATTTTTGAATGCACCGCTGAAGTCAAAATTCGCGTCTAACATCATTTCCAAGAGCTTGCGCTCACTTAAACCACCTGGAATTTTATGTGTGTAAGATCCGAGTGAATCATGCAATAAGAAACCATGACTAAGCTTTGCCTGTAACTTACATGGAGGTATCTCATCTGAAGGTTCATTGTCATTGGTGGAACTCACTGTAGCAGGAGCCTGACCTACAGGAGCAGCTGCATTAGTTAGATGTGCAGGAGGCGGCATCGGAGGTGTGGTTGAAGGACCCTAAAGTAAGGTTCAAAAAGCTGCACTGAAATTACATTTGCAATTAGGCGCACACAATCACCAACACTGTAATCTAACACAGATAAAAGAACCTACAAGATCGGAGGAATCGTGCGGTGGAGACTCTGGCGCAGAATTTCTATGGTGTTTCTTTTTCTCTTTTTCTTTCACTCTGCCATAAGCTCCTCCATATCTTGACATATCTGCATCCTCTCCCTTTACGAGACGCTCCACGCGCTCGATATCCGTGTCTTAAAAATCAACAAAATTGTAAAAAGTAGAAAGTCGATGTAAACTATTACAAACAATGACCTACCTATTCCCATGTCGCGACACTGTTGTTTGAAGGGAGCTAGCTGGTCTTCAGTATAGACACCATTTGCTCCCCAAAGATTCAGCGTACGAACAACTCGAGGCTAAGATATTAGTATGTGTTACATTTCAGGATTATTTGATTCTTTCAAAAATGCTTACTTGGTCAGCCACTGGACAGCTAAGAAGATCAGCCAAAGTTTTCGAGAAGTTCTTGAGAAAACGTGATGCATAAACATCCCTTTCTTTGAACTGATGCTTCGATGTGCGGATGATGCTGTCGATAACGTAAAGACATGGGATTTTGTACTCGGTTTTGCACTAAAAGTACACCTATCGGATGTGTCAAGAAAAGCTAGTTATAACAGATCCTACATCACATTATGATATGAATTCAAAATACTGAAGTGAAAATAAAGTGTCAATAGCAGTGAACAAAACTCTTATCACGAACTAGTTTTCCTAGTAAGCTAGTAGGGAGACGTATTTCTAAATATCTCATGAAAGACGCGTAGCAAACACTGTACCTACATCTACCATAGATGGGGCTAACAAAAAGGATGAAAAATTGGCTCTGAGATGCATATCACCAAAAAGGAGGGGATATTATGAGCTATCAAGGGAAAGACTGAAAACTTTTGCTGCACAAACGATGCTTTTCTATACAACTAACTGGCATAAATGTGCTCAGGTCAGACTCAAACTTAGCGTCCTTTATACAATGCATGAGACTCGCATTAACATGGTGTTTGATTGAATCGATGAAATTAGCATTAAAGGCAGCATCCCGGCAAGTGAGTACTGAGATTTTACAGCAAAATGGCAGACTCTCCGACTAGTTTGTCAATGAAAAGGCGAAAAGCGCATATGGAAAGCTTGAGTTCCACCCAAGAAGTCTTCCGGGTCCCGCCTCTCATTCCGGACCCTCCCTCCCCCTCCCCTCCCCCACCCCCCCCCCACTCACACGTGTATTTCAGCGAATGCGGCATGAAGAGTTTCGAAAAAAATCATTGTGGCCATTTTCATGCGCTTCAAAGCCCAAATAGCACGGGTTCAGCATGACTAGAAGACTGCGAATGAGAGACTGGAGGACGAAAATTTGCCGGAGTACTCGGAAAGTTGACCGGAATACTGTCTCTAAGGGACCCGTCATACTTCGCCGAAAAAAGCCCAAAAGCGCCCGAAAGAGCCAGAAAAAGCCGAAAGAAGCCCAAAAAAGCCCGAAAAAGCCCAAAAGCGCCAGAAAGAGCCTGAACGTCCCCTTCCGTTTTGACGCTAAGACACGGTGTTGATTTCGCAACCGAGTCTACTTGCTTCATTTTCTGTCGTCTGCACATCAAGACAACGTCAGAATCCTATATAGTTAGAACGACCGAAAAAATTCGTCGAACGAATGAATTTCGAATAATCGGCTTTTGAAAAATATTCGAACGAACGAATATTATTCGATCTGTAATTTTCAGATTATCCGAATTCGAATATTCGAATAATGCTACATTTCAAAATTCGAATGAACGAATATTCGAATAAATGGGGTTGGTCGAACATTCGACTATTCGAATAATCGAATAATTACATATAGTCGAATATTCGACTATTCGAATAATCGAATAATTACATATGGTCGAATATTCGACTATTCGAACAATTCGAATAATCTAACACCTCAAAACAATGCTGGTTTTTTCTTTGTTGCGGTTTTCTGCAAAAGATTAATCGCTAATTTGATCTTTGTAGCTGATAATTATATGTGTAGCAAGTGGTAGGAAGACTTCGTTATTGTCGTTGGTCAGGGTTCCACTTAGGAAACAGAAGAACTTCACCCAAACATGTAGTTCGAGGTGTTCATGGTCTTTTAAGATGGCTACTAAGACTTACTTAGTAATCGTTTCAAATCCGCATTTATTTTTCCTCAGAAGTTTCTCCCGAAGCTACACAGAACTTTTTCCCAAAGCTGAAGATTTAACATGGATAATATTTTAAATTAGGTAGTTCTTTGTAATTTAATGGTAATGGTCAGCATTGCGCTAGTTCTAAGACTAGCACTGGAGGAGCACGAGGAAGGCCTACAGTAATAGAATATATGAACCTCTGCTGTTGTACCGAAAGTTTTGTCCGTTTTTTCAAATTAGATCAAACCACGCACAATAAAGACCTGAATGAGTTTCAGCATTCGATGCAGCTTTTCCTTCTCTTTTTTCAAGAATACACTTCCGAACTACAATCTTGTATTCTTTCTTTGACGATTGCCAAAATTCTCCATCCGTCAATTTTATCTGCTCAAAGTTAGGCTACTTTTTTGAATTTCATTTCAAAGTTTCGGAAAGGACTAATATGGATCAAACAGAGCAATTCTCGGAATACAGGGTAATATTTCAGATTCTCTTAATGCTGTTTTAACTTAAAAAACATTATATCTTCGGAAGTCTCGATTTCTGGCAAAGTCATGAAACACGCAACTGCAGCAAATACACGAAAGCTTTTGAAACTTTTGCGAATTGAAATATGGTTCTTATCAAACATTATTTACGCTACATAAGCAAGTTTGATTTGCTTTGGAAAGTAGCTTTTTGGAATTTTCGTTACTTTTACGTGGTAAACGTAATCAAAAAGGCGCAGTTTTCATCAAACAAATAATTATAACGAGCTTGGTAAACATGGCCCATGTAATCTATTAGGTTGTCCGGAAATTAGTGCAGGTTTTGAATTCCAACCGCAATAAGTCATACACTTCTCATTTCTGAGTAGGTTGCAAGGTACCGTTCGATAGAGCAAAGCAAGCTCTACAAGATGGCAGTCATGATTTAGCAACAGCTCCAATCCACCACGAGTTTCGAGCCAAAAACTAAAAAGATTTAACTACCCAAAAAAATTGAGAAAAATCGTAATTCAGTTCATAAAAATCCTATAAAAATTCTAACTCGCTCACGTAAACACTGTCCACATAAGACGTATATGTACGCCGTTGCCGTATTTTTTTCTCGGTTAGAAACCAAAAAAACGAAGATTTTCATGTTTCTGCCAAAGTGATCCTGTGCCGTTCCCACATGAGTAGTTGTATACTACAAACCTGTAGAAGTACAAACGTAAATTTTCAGCTCTCTACAAGCTTTAGTTCTCGAGAAATATCGAATACAGTTGTACTAGTCATGTGGTTCAAGCTAAAATTCGAATTTCTCGAGAACTAAAGCTTGTAGAGAGCTGGAAATTTACGTTTGTACTTTTACAGGTTTGTAGTATACAACTACTCATGTGGGAACGGCACAGGATCACTTTGGCAAAAACATGAAAATCTTCGTTTTTGTGGTTTCTAACCGAGAAAAATATACGGCAACGGCGTACATATACGTCTTATGTGGACAGTGTTTACGTGAGCGAGTTAGAATTTTTATAGAATTTTTATGAACTGAGTTACGATTTTTCTCAATTTTTTGGGTATTTAAAATTTTTTTAGTTTTTGGCTCGAAACTCGTGGTGGATTGTAGCTGTTGCTAAATCATGACTGCCATCTTGTAGAGCTTGCTTTGCTCTATCGAACGGTACCTTGCAACCTATTTAGAAATGAGAAGTGTATGACTTATCGCGGTTGGAATTCAAAACCTGCATTAATTTCCGGACAACCTAATAAAAAGGGTACAATGTAGCTAAAGGCTTGCTCTACATGACATTCATCAGCGCTCTTTGAAAACATCACTATAAAATTTTTTAAAACTCAGTAAAAATTTGGCGTTACTTCTGAGCTGCTCAGGAAGCCGTGGCGATAACATTGCAAAGACAGAGTAGATCAGAGAGCAAATACAGCTATAAGAGAGAAGATAAAAATCTGTATCAAATCGTACCTAAGTTGATCATGGATCGGTGTTCTGTGAGTTCTAGTGAGCGATGAAAAAAAACGGACAAAACTTCCAGGATAATCTAATACTTCTGTGCTCATCTAAATCCAGAAAAAGAAAACTCGTGGAAATATATGTATATTAGCTGATAATCTAATACTTGTCGGGAATTATCAATCCCCGAGTTTCGCAGTTTCTGGTGTAGGATTGAATTCTCACAAATTTGTTTTAGTTGCATTTTTGAGGTTTGTACTTTTGTTGTAAGGGATCTTCCATATCTTTTACTCAGGTTCAAAATAATTATTGTTCAACCTACACGCCTACTCGGAGTAGTATTAGCAATGATGCAAAGTTCGTAGAGGAATAATACTTCGAGTAGGCGCCTACACGCGTACTTCATGTAGGCTTGTAATTCTAACATTAGTTTTCTACGCCTCCTGACTATAAGGGCAGCTGATTTGAGTATAATGACTGACATGTAGGCTGCCGCCACAAGTTAAGCGGCTCAGGTCCTCACGACCGCCTTGCTCTGGCCTTGCGTTGTAACGTATCTTTAAGGTATTTTGACACGCGCGGTGATTAGGCTGGCAAGGCAAATGAAGACCTCGAGATGAAGGAATGAATGTTGCCTATACCTGCCGCCTTAAAACTGCTGGTCCTTCACATGCTTATGCAAGCTGTTTGAGGACTGGTGCGTTGGGCGCCTAATGATGGCTTTGCTTCTTCACCCAATTCAGAGCTTGGAGGTATCTGCGCGTGATTACGTGTCTCAACTTCTCAGACGCGATTTCCAGAAGATAGTTCACCACTTCAAATGAATTATGTAAAGGGCTTGTCATCACTATGCTCTGGCATGACTCGCGACTCATGCTTCAAAAGGGAAGCTTGCTAGCCATTTTGTCATTTGATAATTCATTTGTGTGATTGACCGATCGGGGGACATACTTTTACTCAGTGTAGAACAGTTGAAGTTTTCTATTGACATCGAATGTTCGAATGAATGCTCTTAAATATTCGAATTTTCGAATGACTGTCTTTCAAGTTGGCTCGAATATTCGAATATTCGAATAACTGTCTTTTGAAATTCCTCGAATAAACGAATATTCGAATAACTCATTTTTCCAAATCATCGAATGAACGAATTATTCGAATACAGGCCTTTTTCATTTATTCGACTATTCGAATAATTGAATAATTGGACTGTTTTAAATATTCGACTATTCGAATATTCGAATAGTCAAATATTTCGAATAAATTATTCGAACACGAATATTTGGTTCTAACTATAAATCCTACCATAAATTCGTTTCTGCGTCCCGGCTCTGGGCTTTCCGGGCTTTTTTCGGCTTTTTCGGGCTTTTCCAGGCTTTTTTTAAAGCTTTTTTGAGCGCTTGGGCTTTTTTCGGCGAAGTATGACGGGTCCCCAAGGACGGGCAATGACTGAGCAAACTCAGAACGTGACTTATTCAAAGAAACATTTTCATGCTCGAAAAATTAAAAAAAACGCCGACATAGTCAAGTGTTAACTTTGGCCCAGACCGTAACCATCTCAAGCGTCCTCTAGTACCGTCCTGGGCAAGTTTAAATGCGGGACTTGTGAATTACAAAGTGCCCCGCCACTTGTGCAATTGACTGAACGTTCATCATGGTCTTTCCTCTGAACGCCCCAAACGCTTAAGCTCAGCCCAGACTTCGCTCAAAAGCGCCCAAAAGCGCTCAGAATCCTCCCATTCTCTTATCTCTCCTCATACAGTGAAGAGACATAAGATTGGGCGCCTTTGGGCGCTTTGAGCGAAGTCTGGCCAGGGTCTTAGATGAAGAGAAAATGGATGGAAGCGAACTTACTACAGATTGATGCATTTCATCCATTTTTTCCTTTTCCTTTTTTTTGAAACGAACGCAGAGTAAAGGGTTGAAAGGCACTAACCTTTGCAAGGAACTTCTCGACGCTGAACACAACATGTTTGTAGTAACCTTTGGCTTTTAATGCTGCTTTGGAGATATCTTGAATCTTCTTTTTACTCAGCGGTGGTTTTGACTCATAGACCGAAGTAAGCTAAAAAGTTAGCTTTACGTTGGTCAGTTCATTATCATCAATTGGCTGGGCAGTGCAATAATTATTATGTACAAGACAGCATAGAAAGTGAGCATATACAAAAAATGACAAAAATGAAAGAAAACTGGTTTCACCGACTAACCTCAGCATTGAATGCCTTCACAACTTCAGTATCCATTATTGAGACTTATGGACTGCTGTTGAAGATAAACATAAAAAGCGGTTAATACCTGAAAAGGCGTTCAAGCTAGTCAGACCAAAGACTTCTTGCCACTTAACACTTGTTGAGCGAGTATATGAAAAGCATGCGTATCATATGTGCGATTGATAGAACAACAAAAGCAAAATAAGAATAATTACGAGCATTGTTACAATTGGCGCAGTGCCTAATGCGATAAATTCTAAGCGAGAGTGTTTGCAGAATTGAGAGAAGCAGACGAGAAAGCGGTCCTGGCACGACTTTTCAGCACATCTGTTATCGCTGATGACGCATGAGACTCTGATTTTTGCGTGTTTCGTTGAATGTGCTACGATTTTGTTGATTTTCGAAGTTTTCGGAATTTTCCCCAGTAATGAGGTTTCTGTGATTCATTTTGAATCGTTGACTCGAGGTCTTACCTCTTGATTTTTGCATTTTGCTTTTGTAAAGGTCAACTAGTATTGATCGCATTTCCAACGATTCAGCCCGGTCGGGAGTCTTCAGACTACAGCCTTTCCAGTATAGGGACCGCTGATGCCTACTGCTAACTTCTAAATGATCACAAATACAGTTTCACTCTGAAATGCAGGTTGTAAATCAAATGGCTCATCTCTGGTAAGGTCGTCGTAGCTCATAACAGTCCCTTTTTTAGCAAACATTTTGGCGCGTATGCATCACATCCACTATCGCTTGCCCGGAAATTTTATGTAGTCTGTCAGAGGAAGACTGCAGAACTAATTCGTCGTTTGATCATATACGACGACGCATCTCAAAAAGTGTAAACTGCAGCGAAGAGTATGCATAGTAGCTACGTTTTCCTTTAGCTAAAGCCTGATAAATAGAAAGACAAGCACATTTCGAACTAGTGTGTGAACGTTGCAGACCTCATTCGGCTGTCTGTCCAGATTTCAAATTTTTGGAATTAGCTCAAACTTGGCTAAGGATCTCATTTTACAGGCTATTCACGAAATGATACTAATTTCACAAGATCGTTATACGGTAGAAGAACGGCCATATGGCTGCGTTCATGCTGATCCCGAAGTTCGGAACAGTTCCAGCACAGTGCCCAGTTCGAGCACTCTGAACTGTTCCCGAACTTCCGCATCAGTATGAACGCAGGCTATAGGCTGGCGGCAACGGTTGTCGAAGTTGCCGGTCGTTGTAGGACCTCACGGTGCTCTGTGTCTAACGCGTTAATGGCAGTGGATCGACAAATCTTCACTTTGTCAAATTCTAGCTTACCTGGGGTTTTCCAATGCGCTGATCCCGAGAACCCACTTTAGAGAGCATGAAAATGGCGAAAACGAGCGTTTTCCAATGCACGCTTTGAAATGACGAACAGTCTGCCCCAATCGGGAACAGGCCGAAGCGTCGGCTGAATTTACGCGCTCGCAGCGCTAGGGGTTTGCTCTGCATAAGCGCGCTGTCGCAGAGAGCGAAGAGATTGAGGAGAGAGCAGACTACATAGCTAGACGCGGAAGTGGCGCGAAACCCTCGCGTCGCGCACTCCCGCCAAGCCAATTTTGGCCTGGTTAGGATTGGGGCAGACTGTAGAGCACGGCTGAAGACGCCGAATCGTTGCGCGACCCGATGACTATAGGGCGCCATCTAAGGGCCGCATGCACTAACATCCCCGCGGGGAGGGGATCGCAGCTTAAAAGAAAGCTTTATATTTCGAAACTCCAGATACCTGGATTTCACGTTGTGTAACTATCCCTAAGTATTCCTACTACCCTTCACTATGAACATGTTGAAGAGGAGCGAGAAGCTATACGAACCGCATTTGCCAGCTTTTGTATGATCCCTGATGTCGGCGCTTTTCTTCAAAGTCATTTTTCTGTCTCCGAAGTTGACGAAAAACCTCCAAAGTTGTGCAGATTATCTAACCCGACAGTGCTAAGCATGTTGCTGATAAGAACAAATAATGTTTTGAAGTCACAAAATTTTCGATGATCCACAGGTCGAAATTTGAGGTTTACCGAAAAATTCGACTTTTCAAAAACTCATTTGTTCTCATCAGCAACATGCTTAGCACTGTTGTGTTAGATGTTCAGTACAACTTTGGAAGGTTTTCGTCGACTTCGGAGAAAGAAAAATGACTTTAAAGAAAGGCGCCGGGGATCATCAGGGATCATACAAAAGCTGGAAAATGCGGTTCTTACAGCTTCTCGCTCCTGTTCAACATGTTCATAGTGAAGGGTAGTAGGAATACTTACGGATAGGTACACAACGTGAAATCCAGGTATCTGGAGTTTCGAAATATAAAGCTTTCTTTTAATCCCCTGCGATCCCCTCCCCAGCGGAGAGGTTAGTGTAGCGGCCCTAAACCTACTTAACCGGCTGCGCGGGCGGTCGCGCGCGTGCACTCATTGCGTGCCGGAACCTACAGCGCGATGTCAATTGCTTGCTCAACGCTGGCACTGTGATGTTCATACATTTTTTGACGTACCAGGCGATATTTTTGCTTCAGCTAGGAGTTTCGTGCGCCGAAATACTTTACTATTGATGAGACGAGTAGCTTTCCCAACTAGAAATTCGTCAGACTGCAAAGTAATCTAGTACTAACAAAAGAATTCGCTTTCTCGCAAACTTAATACCCTCACTACAATAGGATCAACACCGCAATGTATGAATGTTCGCCAAAGTCTGTTATTTCTTAGCAAATGACCTTTATTTTGTTAGTGGATCTTCCCTGATACTTCTGAAGCAGACTATGTGCTACGGGATGACTCAATGTTTGACAAAATCTTTCTTGCATGTTATGGAAAAAAGTAGGTTCTGGGAAGAAATGCTCTTCTACAAAGCTGAAAAACAGGGAATGCTTGGTGTCCCGCCATATCCATTCTCATTTCCAAGTCCTTGGTCTTGATAAGTAGTATACCTGGACCTTCGTAAGATTACAGGATAGCTATCATGAATTGTAAAGACAAGCACGCTTTCCACGAGTTGTTTAGCAGAATACTTTACTTCATCTGAGAAAATTCATTATTTGGAACAAGCGCAACTGTGCGAAATGTTGGCGTAGGACTTTCTAGTCTCGAAGCAAGAAGATTTTTCCTTTCCATAATCATTACCCTCGTCGAAACAAACAAAATAGGATTCAGGTACGAATACCGAAAACTTGCTCAGCATCTTAGCAACTTCATCTCCTAGTCGAAACTCCAAAAATCCAGTCGAAACCTTGCTAGATTTAGCAATACTAGATTGGAGATTGAATCACAAGAGTAGCATAAAATGGACAAAAGTATTCATTCAACAGCTATTTACCGAAATTATATTTTGAAACAAAGCTGCCTCGTCGAGAAAAGAAACAAGTTCTTCTTTAAGCTGAGTCATCGTTCATAACTTTTCCAAGAACGTCGAGATGCAAGCACTATACGCTGGAACCGTCGGCAACTTTCGAATACTTGTTCACTTGTGTGAGAACTTCTAATACGACGGCTTCCTGTGGCAATATGAGTTCGAAAAACGTCAACAGTTCAGCTCGGGCTATAGATAGGATGTAATCCTACATCTTGCTGTGAATAAATCCTCAAACATTCTCCTTACAGGGAACAAAGCTCAAGCATCACGCGTATGAACTCAAGTCAGAAGCGCCAGCGATTTTGATGCGAGCAAGCAATGAGGGGTCGACCGGTAGGTCCCGGCACACAGTGAGAGCACGCGCGCGACCGCCCGCGCAGCCGGTTAAGTAGATTTAGATGGCGCCATGACTATAGCATTGCGGCAGGCAACCTCCAATGGTGAGAAAGGCGTTGTCAACTCGTCCGAGCTCGCGTAAGATTGGCTCGCGCGCGTAAGTTTGAGAGCAGTTTTCTCGGCAGGGAAGGCATGCTGTGCGACCGGGATTGCACTGTTTTCATACTCGGGTGATAAGCAACATACCGCGTCAAAATCTCAATTGTTAAGTTTTGCCGATCCACTGCCTTTAAGGTAGGTGCCAGACTAAGCGAATATGTTCAGCTGCAAAAGGCGCACAGAGTTAACGTTAATTCTGCGCGGGACCTGTAGCTGAAGCAGGCCTTAGTGGTAGGAGACATTATGCAGCAGACATTAATTCTGCGCGCCTTTTGCAGCTGAACAAAACAGTCGCTTAGTCTGTCACCTACCTTAGGCACGCGCCGTACTTGATTCGCTTCTACTTCGTCGTTGGTCGCTGATTTGACAATAGCAAAGCAGATGAAGCGGATTAAGTATGGCGCTGCCTAAGGCTGGGTTCATACTGATCCGAATATTCCGGAACAGTTCTAGCAGTTTTCGCGCTGTGCTGGAACTGTGCTGCATGCACTGCCGCTCTCATGCAGTCTTAAGCGGCGGGAGTTGGAGATTCTTCAACTGTTTTTGACAGTTTTTCTTTCAGGTTTCTCTCATTTTGTCCTTATTCCTCTACATCGCTTCCCTCTTGTTGAAGAGAACTCCGGACTTGAAGCGGGGTTGAAGAATGAGCGCTGTTCTGCTCTGCATATGCGGGCAGATGGGTCATTGTGCGCTCGCTCCCTTCGTTATTTTTGTCGGGACCAGAGGTGCGATAGGTGGAGCCGGGCTCCCCAAAAGTGAAGTTGGTTCCAGCTACTGGCTGCTTTACACTCACCTCCCAAAAACGTCGACCGGGGGGGGGGGGATATACACAGCTCGACGTCTCTTTTGCACAATTTCTTTCTCAAAAGTTTCGTAAACTTCTTCACTAACTAATAAAAAGTAGAAATAAGAAGAACAAATTCAAAAATCACTAAAGGTTTTTTTCTCACTCAATTTACTTTTAGGAACTCGCCATCACCCCAAGGATCCTGACATGGACGCATCTAAGCCCCAGCAATTCCCACAATTTCGGAGAACAAAGCTCCTTGATGAATTTTAAGAGCTCCGACCCAACGGTCCTGTTTGGGGTCAACAACTTGACCCAGTGGCCCTTTTTAGGGCTGCAAATACGATGAGTACAGCAGCATAAATATTAAGAAAAGTGTTAATCAGATGGTGTATTTGTAGGTAAAACTCAGCTAGACTTTACATATTTTATCAAGTAAATCTTGTTATAACGTACTGCCAATAAAGTAGGTCGATCTAGGCAGTAACCACCGAGAACCAGAATTTCGAATAATAAAATAGCGAAAAATCAGCGAAATTTCCATTGTTGTAAATCTGGTGGTTGAAGGTGTCAGCAACTGCGCTTCATAGGTTTTGAAGGGTTAGTGTTGTTCTACCAGACGATGAAAAAATCAGGTCGATCTGAGCAGTGGCCGCCGAGAACGAGAATTTTAGAAAATTAAGCGATTTTAATCTACTTAGTGACAGCTGATGTTTAGACTCCTATAAATGTGCAATGTGAAGGTGCGCAATGTTGCGACTTTATAGGTTTTGTAGGGTAGTGATTGCACTACATCAAGATACCGGCGAGATTCAGGCTCTTAAAAAAAACAGGTAAAAAACTGCTTTTTGGAATTCAACAGCTCATAACTTCTTCAGAATTGCATGAATCATGTTGCGACTTCATAGATTGGATTCTCCTTTTCAAGAGCTTTCAGATGGTATATAATATGTGGGAGGTTCAATGATTTTTGCTGCTCTTACCCAGGGTGGAGGCTTTTCACCCCAAAGTCTCCACCTCGCCCATGTTAATGTATTGGACGGAGACCGCCAGTGGAGGCTTTGAGGTGAAAAGTCTTTCCACCCCCGGGCATATGCCGTGAGAGGCGCGAAACCCCCACATGTTGAAAGCTCTTAAAAAGGACAATCCAACCTATGAAGTCGCAAAATGATTCATGCAGTTTTGAAGAAGTTATGAGCTGCTGAGTTTCAAAAAGCGGTTTTTACCTGTTCCTTTAAGAGTCTGAATCTCGCCGGTATCTTGATGGATCGGTACGGCTAAGAAACAGTCTGATAAAGCAATTTTTACGCTTTTTCACCTTCTGGTAGAACAACACTTATCCTTCAAAACTTGTGAAGTCGCAGTTGCTGACATCTTCAACCACTAGATTTATAACAGTGGAAATTTCGCATGGTTTTTCGCTATCATTCGAAATTCTGGTTCTCGGCGGTTACTGCCATCAACCTACTACATAGATATATGCTCTCAATACCTTCTTTTGCGTTCCTTTGGTTATTTTCCTTCTTTTAAGCTTCAGCAAAAAAATCTCTTCAAACCCAAAAGTGCAGGTGGTCACTCCGTACCAGCTCAAAAGTGAAGGTAGGCGGAGACTCGGCTCCGACTATCGCACCTCTGCTCGGGACTACTCCATTAGTTCCAGGAAGCGGCTATTCTTTCACATCTGTATTGACGAGGGCACAGACAGCTTTCTAGAACATGAAGTAGGTTTGAACAAGAATAACGGAGGGAGAATGGACGAGCGCACAAAGGCCCATTTTCCCTGATACATGCTAGCAAAACAGCGCTCCTTCTTTAACTGATCGAGGCTCTTCTCATCAAAAGGGGAAGCGGAGTGGAAGAATAAGGCCGAAAGAGTGAAGATCGAGAGAAAAACCGTTGAAAACGGTCAAAAATCTCTGACTCTCTCGGATTAAAACCTCATGCGGGCGGCTGCAGCGCATGCAGCACAGTTCGAGGTGGGTCCGTTGTGGCCCCGCGCGAAAGCATGCAAGTCTTCTGCGAAATACGGTACTATGGACAAGTTTAGTAATGAGTTTCTATGTCCGGCTGATCTTGTTGGCGCTGCGGCTCGGAAAGTGTTAGGGAACGGTCATAAGTTGCCGACAACGAGGTTGCCGGCGTTGCCGGGGTCAGAGACAGCTTAGGTAAGGGATCGTTCAGACCGCGCAAAAAGACGCACAAAAGCGCACGGAGGCGCGTCTTGTCTCGTCTCCTTTATCTCGACACGCACACTCACTCACACGCGCCTTCGTGCGCCTTAGTGCGCGCTCTGAACGATCCCAAAGTCGCCTGCACGAAATCGCCCGGGATGCTGTAGGCTGAATGCAAGCGAGCGTGCCTGCAACGCGGCTATCGAGTGCGGGCGCTATGATGACTCATACGCGCGGATGCCAATGTTACTAGCACGCAAGAGACACGCTCGCAGGCGCTCAGTCCGGGCGATTCTGTGGAGCCAACTATACATGGCTTATCAAGCGCATTGCCGCTTGCATCAGCATCTCCACTCCCGCGCTGGACTCTGCATCTCATCCGCGAACATGTTCTCTGGTCACTTTCCCAGGCGAGCGTGGGAAAAGCGGAGCCTCAATCGATTGCAAGTGATTAGAGAGCATGTTCGTGGAGGAGACGCAGAGTCCAGCGTGGGAGTAGAGATGCTGATGCAAGCGACACTGCGTTTGATAAGCCCTGTCAGTGCATTCGAAAAATCGTGACGATGGCGCGACCGCGCGCGGCAAGCACGCACTTCCAGTTCCTGGTTTCTATCTCTACTCGTATGGTTGTTCTGCTTACATATGATAGTTTTCAGACACTGGAAGTGACTGAGCTGAACGCTGAGGTGACGCATGTTTGTAGGGTGTTTTATGCTACTGTGTGCGCAAAGACCACAGTCAAACTCGTGTCACGATTTTAAGAATGAACCTTAGCTGCCAGACTTATCCGACTCAACCGATTCATCCTGTTCATTCCATTCGCTATTGGTCAGTTCAGTGATCTGACCAGTAGCGAACGGGTGAACCGCATGAACCGATTGAACGTGAGAAGTCTGGCACCTAACTTAAAAAGAGCGCGAACCGTGGAGGCTAGGGGTCCTATAAGGGTCGGCAACGCTTGCAACCTCGATAACCCCAACAACCTCGGCAATGCCAACAACCTCGGCAACGCCGGCAACCTATGGCCGTTCCCTTACATCGAATAGCTTCGTGAGCCAAGCTTGAGTTGAATATATGATTTTCGAAAATTTGAGACCCGGGTAACCGGAAAGTGTGACAGATTTTATAAGCGCCTATGGTCTCAGACGGCAACAGGGCTTCTGAAGTCTACAGTCTGTTCCATATCAGCGTAGTCGTAGTTGGTATGATTCATGTCCGCGTCGCCATGGTTTTTACTTCTGCGTTCTGGTGTGGGAAGTGTTGATAGGTTCTTTTAGGCCCTCTTCCGAGAATGAGTCGCAAAATTCGTGAAACTTAGTCACTTACATGAGTCATAGAGTAGTGCAATGACTTGTTTATTTTTGTAAATATTTGAAATAGCTTTTGAAAATTTTTAAGAATGCAAATTAGCCCTGTAAACAATCTTCCGGGGCATGGCTGCCATCACCCCCCCCCCCCTTCCTCTGATTTTTGGGGTTCATGGGCCCGCAGAAATTTTGGGAACTATCCCAAAAATTTTCCCATAGTGCGTGTCTGACGTCACGCAGCTTCATTCGAAAGAAAGTTTTGCAGCGCAAACCGCAATATCTTGTCAGTTTTCACATGTACTAATCACAACTCCACTTACGCTTGTGAAAACTAGTCATCTCATGCCTCGATGTGTGCCATTGCCTGTGCACGCTTTACACAATGAGTATCGTAAATTTCGTCTTTGCGCATACGTAGAGAACGTTTAGTAATTGTCTTTTCGAAGCTCAGAAATGATATGTATTATCATTATTGTATTATTATTATTATTATTTATTATTATTTTCGTAATTAGTCCACAAGTCTTTGCTACGCCTACCGAGTTAGGCCCCGGACAGACTTCACGCGATTTGATCGTCGCGACTGAATCGCGACGAGACAACTGTGACAAGATCATTCCATGCCGACCAACTTGCATTTCGGTTGTGATACTCCAGCCCGAAATTTTTGAATGTGAAATGAGAATGAATGGAAATGTCGGCGATTGAGTCGCGACGATCAAATCGCGTGAAGTCTGTCCGGGGCCTCAAGATGCGTTTTGATTTTCTTTCACACATTAATAATTGCAGCAATGAATGCAAATGCAAACCAGGCAGCTGGTGCTTTAGCTGTCAGTCCATTTCCCGCACCACCCGACTATGCTCAGCACTACACAACTGAACGAATCAGCCAGGGCGCTGTGCTTCCACCGCCACCGGTGCAGACTGTATTCACCGTATTTGGGGAAGAGTATCGCTTGGAGGATGATATCATCAGGTATGTTTAGTGTATCTCAATCCATGCCAACGTGGTCCCCGTCTTGTTTTCGTTTCCGAACTTCTTTTCTCAATTCTTCTTCTCATATTTTTCATGTCAAAGTTTGCAGATCGCTTGCTTCGCAAAACATAAAGCAACTGTACCCGACGAAGTACGACTGGAAGACAGAGATGAAAAAATTGAACAGGTAGCGCCACCCCATTTTTTCGGTTTTTTCAAAACGGATTTTTCAAGCTGAAACGAGGTTCTCAACGTCTGTTAGACATTGGTTTTTTGACATCTTGACAATTGACTGAAATGGAAATTTCGGGGAAATTTCTATGCATACATCAAGTGCAGACTGAAAGAGGCTGCATAAATTTATTCTGCCTCCATACGTACCTTCAAATTTCGAGCGCAGTCTGCTACATTTGTGATCGTTTCATTTTTCTCTCTTTTTTTTCTGTCACGGTGCCCGCTCATCAAAGATAACCATGAGTAAGAGATGCTTTGTTATATCTGCTGCTGATCGGAGATCGGGTGGGCGCAGTGGAGTGCTTATCAGCGGAATAACTGAGTAAAGCTGATTTCACCTTCTCCATGATGCTGTCTTGGACTTGTTATTATAACGGGATGCCCCATCTTCTAGTATATATAACATTGTAAGGCGGAGTTTGTGAAGCGCTGTTATCTTTGTTTGCTTTGCTTGTTACACATAAGATCAGCTTTCAACCATTATGCTTTTCTGTACATAACATGTAATAGCATCACTCACGTTTTATGTGCCTTTTCACTGTTGCCTCATCCCAATTTCTGCTAAGTTTAGGAGTGTGGTCGTGGCTTTTCTCGATTTGCTGGATATCTTAGTCCGATGTCCAGATAACCCGGAAAGAAATGAGAAGATTAATGACATACAGACTATCTTCATCAACATGCATCATCTCATCAACGAATATCGACCGCTGCAGGTTAGAACTCGAAAGGCTATAAAGTGTGAATAGCTGATGTACCTACATAGCGTAGTTCAATTTACGAATTTTCTTCATTGAGACCTTGAGATACCTTATATCTTATTTTGCTCCGCAGAAACACAACCGCACTTGCTCGTTTATATTCGCTTAATTTTATATTTCAGGCTCGTGATACATTGAGAATGATGCAAAGTCAGCAACTTAAGGAATTAAAAAAGACTGTAGAAAGGTTCAAGTAAGTTAGTTTAGCTCTACAGTTCAATTTGTTTTGACACCCTGAACAAGTTATGTAATTCCCATCCTAATTGTTGTTTTTTCAAACCACTTATCTCGCTGAGGTCCCCCCAAAATCGCCTCGCGATTCTTTGCACAAGCATGCCTATCATCCTGCATTTTGGTTGTCCTAGTTTAGAATGCGACTAATTACGATCACCGGCTCTTTATGTACTCTCAAACCTTCTTTTTGTGGTTTGCTCTTTATGGCCTTCTTTTGTCATTTACCCCTTCGCGACCCTTTAATTGTTTCTTTTCAACTTTGTTGTGACCTCTAATTATAATTGTTTTATCAGACCAAATCTGCGCGTGTAAGTCAATAATGGTAGTGAATGGAATGTAAAGGGATTAATGAGGTAAACTTCCTGAAAGTTTGAATGGTCACAGTCGCTTTTTCTTGAGTTACAAACTTTATGAGAAACATCAATGATTGCACATTGCAGAGGGCATTTAACGGCAGGGAAAGCAGCGCTACGTGAAGAGCTTTCCCTTTCCGACTTGAAGCTTACGCCAGTTCCTCGTCCATCACCTTTAACAGGAATCGATATTGACTCAGATGAAGAGAATATGCCGACACTTGTTAAAATGGAGGTAGGTCGAAAATGCTTGCCGGTAATGAAAAGCACATAGGGAACGAAAAGCCAATTCATTTTAATCGATTTCAAAAGTGTCTTTGTGAGCTTTTTGATCTAAATAAGTTTTGCTTACAAGGTAAGAGGTAACAAACTTTTTAGTTTCGCTTTCTGTACACTAATCATTTCTAAAATCGCTTCCATGAGACTCTTCATTCCAATTTGCATCTATTTTTGAGCTTGCGCTGCAGATCTTATGGTTGTTTCCGGGGGGATACACTCAAAAACCCGGGGATTCTAACGCGATTCGCGTTACCGCGCCAATCTGTCAGGAACTTGTCTGAAGAATTATTTGGAATCTGTTTGTGTCAATATTTACATCGGCATGGGTTAATTTTTATCTCTTGGCGAGCAGATGTTTTCCCATTTTCAAAACGATGACCATCTGACTATTGTTACTGCAGCTCAGTTGAGCGATCACACGCGTATAGCTCAGTTGGGAGAAACAACTAGAAGCTTGCACATGAATCAGTTCCATGTAGTACCTTGGTAACTAGCTGCACGGTCTTATGAATTTTCCTGAAGCATCGAGAAAATGACGCTCTCATAGTAATCAACAACATTTGATCATCACTTGTTCGCCTTAATCTCGATTTGCCGTAGTTGAATGTTGGAAAAGTAGAACGAATAACATGTGGAGGCAAAGTAGATGAATAACATGCAATACAATCATTGCTAGGAGTGAATGACGCAGTGAGTGCGCGGTTCCATAAAAAAAAAACTAGAAACCTCTGTTGACACTCGTAAAGAATCGAGATATGAGTTTGAGGGAACATCATGTCTATCATCTTCTAATTTTAGTGCTATCTCATGCACTTCTCTTGTCTCTGTTGTCTTTACTGTTTCTATGTGATCGACATTGGTCTGTCTGCTGTGATACACTGCTTTTCGGATCTCTTATATCATTTACCACAGGTAAATGGTACGCCTCAATTTTGTTTTCCAGTTCACTTGCCCAATAGGCATCTTGCATTACTCGGCGGTTTTCTTCCTTAGATACACTATTACCGTAATCGGCTGAATAATTCGTCATCAGCTAATTCCCTCATCTATGCACTAAAATGAGCTTTCCATCTTTCCTATAAGTGCACAGCTACTCTGCACACGTGATCAATGTGCATATCTCACCTAACCCCACGCAGATGTTAGCTTCGCTAATATACTGACAAGGAAACCGTGTCGAGTCGAAGTGGCCTTTCTAGGTAAGACCCATACTGCTTTGAAGAGCATTAATCGGTGATTCCAAATCTGCTTTCCGGATCTGCCAAGCGCCTCTGGACGCCGAGTTATGCTCGTTTTTCAGGTCAAAAAATTGAACGCAAAACTGAAGCAAAATCGCCCAAATTTGCTCAAATGATCCAGTGTCAAGTATCAAAGCTGTTTATGCAATGGATACATTTTATTTAATATGCTAATACCTAACATTGCTTTATCTGAGCGCTAGAAAGATTGTAACAATCAATTTTACCTAAATTCTGCATTCATTTTTTGATCCGAAGAACGTTCATAACTCGGCGTCCAGAGGCGCTTGGCAGATTTGGAAGGCAGATTTGGAATCACCGCTTAATACTCTTCAAGGCAGTATGGGTCTCATCTGGAAAGGCCACTTCGACTCGACACGGTTCCCTTGTGAGATCACTTCCTTCTCTGCAGTGCAGTGAATAACATTGCATCAACAGAATTAAGCTTCTTCGATTTTGTTCTGTACTTATGGTCGGGATTCATAGCAAGCAACTTTTGTGAAAAATAAGTGACTGACTACATGAGTAGTTCATTTCTTTGTAACGCGGTTCTAAGGGATCGTTCAGACCGCGCCTGTACCCGCCCAAATACGCCCGAATACGTCCAAATACGTCCAAATACGCCCAAATACGTCCGAATACGTCCAAATACGTCCAAATACGTCCGAATACGTCCAAATACGCCCAAACCCGCCCGAACGCCGAAACTGCCAATGCGCAGCAAATTGCATGCAAATTGGCATATTGGAGCACGCGTGGAATACTGCGTGCGTGGTGCATATATGGTAGCCACACGTAGCTCGACGTTACACACCGATTTTCATATGCGACTAGCGGGATTACAAAGATCAATCGACTTTGCGTCTGTTTTTATTTCTTCTCATGTTTGCTGACTCTAGGTGAGTTCTAACTTTCGTGCTGTGCGTTTTCTTTTGTTTTGAGCATGACGATCTTGTTGAGGTAATGCTTTGTTCTGTCTATGAGTCATTTCTTTCCATATTGATCTGGAATGAGTAGAATATGCACATTTTGTTTGTCTGTTTTCTAAGTACGTGCGATGTCAACTTTTTGTTTATACTTTACAGGGACAGTATGCCTAACGCGTAAAGATGACTAGAATACCTCTTCGGCCCCGGCCAGACTTCGCTCAAAAGCGCCCGAAAGCGCTCAAGTTTTTTGAATCTCTCTTCACTCCTATCTCTCCTCCAGAGAAAGACAGAAAAATTTGGGCGCTTTTGAGCAAAGACCGGGCCTTTTTATTGCACCAGATCAATATGGAAAGAAATGACTCATAGACAGAACAAAGCATTACCTCAACAAGATCGTCATGCTCAAAAGAAAAGAAAACGCACAGCACGAAAGTTAGAACTCACCTAGAGTCAGCAAACATGAGAAGAAATAAAAACAGACGCAAAGTCGATTGATCTTTGTAATCCCGCTAGTCGCATATGAAAATCGGTATGTAACGTCGAGCTACGTGCGGCTACCATATATGCACCACGCACGCAGTATTCCACGCGTGCTCCAATATGCCAATTTGCATGCAATTTGCTGCGCATTGACAGTTTCGGCGTTCGGGCGGGTTTGGGCGTATTCGGACGTATTTGGACATATTCGGACGTATTTGGACGTATTTGGACGTATTTGGACGTATTCGGACGTATTTGGGCGTATTTGGACGTATTTGGACGTATTCGGGCGTATTTGGGCGGGTACAGGCGCGGTCTGAACGATCCCTAATAAACAGCGTAAGCGTGCAATATCAATATTCTCCACAATTTTTATCAGCGGGCTTATTTGGGAAATCCTAGTGCGATCACCCGCGAGTCAAGCCATTCCCAAGTGAGCACGAACTTGCAGGTGAATTTCACAAATGCTGAAGAAAACTTATACAGCGTTTTCGATCGAAAAGAAAGTAAAAAGTGAGTGATTTCTTTCGCGCTAATCTATCTCGATTCAGACTGACGTCGATGAAGCTACTACATCCATGTCAGCATTGAAGCTAGGACCACGACCGTCACGAACTCAGTTGAAGCAGCGGCGAAGTGCCGATGCGAATTTGCTCAGCGAGTATTAGGAGCAAAATGAGGGATACAGCTTTTTTCGAATTGTTGGTCATGACTATAGCCTCATAGCTTAGCCTACCTCCTTATAAATGTCTGTTTTGTAGCAAGGAAACCATCGTACTAGCTCAGTATGTAGAAGAATGAGGTAGTCGATCTAAAATCCTTGGAAGGATCATGTTTCTTGTTGTTTTGAGATTGTTTTCGAATAACGATTCGACATGTTGAACGCTTTTGTTGCCTTTAGCATCGTTACAGACGTCAAGGCGGTCTTCCTACAGCTGATTCCTTGATTTTATGTAAGCACTTGCCATCATGGAAGAAGTGCAAACATTTTTAGTTCAACAAGCACGTTTCTATTATTGATTTCCACTGTCTTTGTACAGTTCCGTGACGACCACTTGCATGATACGTAATCGTTTTCCTTATCGGGTACAGGTCTATGGTAAGACGAGTGCTGCTGTTTTCTGTGGAAGATCATTTTGTTTTTCGACATTAATTTTTTTTAATACGGGTAGATTCTTAACGGAGGTTGCTTTTGCTTTTATTTTATTACTTTGTTATGCTGGTATAAAATAAAGATGTTTTTGCTTTTGTGTTTGTCGTAAAGGAACTGTGGCAGTCAGTTCACTACATATCTGGATTGCAACTGTGCTTACCCTCTGACTGTTATCTTATGTGGTAATTTCACATCTCTTATGAAGGATTATCACAGCTTCATGTTTGTGTGAATCTGTGTCCTATCAAGGTTAACAAATTTACCAATCCTTCATTTTTGAAAATTGAAAAATCACTATCCGTTAGTGCAGTTGGATATTTGCTTTTGGAGTTACAATCGAGGAACTGCAATATTCTCAGCTTCACAGTCTTAAGAACTTGCGTCTTTATGCGTGAGAACGCATGCGCGAAAAAATCAAATATCCATCGTAATCTTTACTAGGTGATGACTCATTTCTTTTGTGCAGTCGTCTATGGGTTATCCTTTGAATGTCATTGCTATTTCGGGCTTGCTGGTCGTACAGAATTGATCAGAAAAGATTCCAGAACCACCCGTGTACTTCTTTCAATGAACGTTGTTCCTCGCGACCGTTTTGCGTGCAAATTTGTGATACAGACGTCATCAAATACGTCGCTTGATCTTTGACCTAAGGAACGGCTGTTCATGAGAACTCTCAAAAAGCTTATCTTTTATGCACCATTTGTTAGAGTGTCTTAACATCGGGCTGTGATCCGCTGTCAGCGACTGCTATTTGAGATTGTTTGATCGATACTGCTGTTGTAATCACTCACTTAACATGTATGACGACCCTTTGATGCCATTAATCAAACTGCTATGCATCGATAAAGCTGTCAAGTCTAATGTTAAGACAAATACTACTACTATAGCTTGCGTACTTACTTCGATCTATCACATCACACTTGCTGTCCGTGCATGTTTCTTATCATTGATGATAGCATCGAGTGATTGCAGTGAAGTGATGTTTCATTTTTATTACTTACATTTTAAGATCACCCTGCCTTTATTAGCCTAGTGCATATTCAGTTACACCCATTGACAGGTTATCGATTGACAGCAGAAGGGATCAAGGTGGGACTCTTATTCTTCAACGTCATCAGCGCTTCCTAATCACTTTTGATATCTAGCGTTTTCGCGATGTCGCTGGATGCGAGTAGTCGTCGCTTGATGAAGGAACTACAACAGTTATCCACTGAGCCACCCACGGGAATCGTTGTGAACAAAGATGCAGCTAGCTCTGATTTGAAGTTAGTTCTCACTTCATTTTGAACCATTAATGATGGATATAAGTTGCTCGCTGTTAGTTTTTCTTTTTCTTTTTTGCCGTTTCTTTTCTCTTTTCATGCCTGCTTTCTTTTGGTCTAAGTATTTCAGCGCCATTTTTTTTCTTTCACTACCGCAAGATTTCTCCACTTAGTCGTGCTTCTTGGCTGTTACCTGCGTACTATAAATACTTTTAGGTCAAATTCTGACTATTTGTGATAGGTAGTTTTGCTTGCATATACTTGTTAGCTTTTTCTGCTGACTCAAAAACTTTGGATGAGTTTTGCTTCTCTATAGCATTTTGAACGTCAGTAGTGTTGCTGCATTAGTACATGGTTTTATATCTTTCTTTGACTGTTTAATTATGGTTGACTGAATTGCTTTCTGTAGAAAATCTAGTAGTTTTAACTTTAGTAGAAATATCTGACATTCAATGGCACCGCTCATAATGTGAGTAGCAGTGGTTTTTTTGCAATCCAATATGAGAAGCCACTGAATTTTTTTTTTCGAAATGAGGGCGTGGGTGGGCCATGCTTTAAGAAAGATTTCTCTGGGATTTCAAGGGTCGCATGCATTAACATCCCCACCCGGGAGGGAATCACAGCTTCAGGAAAGCTTCATTTCCTGAAGCTCCAGATATCAGGATTTCAGGCTGTCTACCTATCCGTAAGTACTCCCACCATTCTTTGCCATGAACCTCTTGAACGGGAGCAAGAAGCTGTACAAGCCGCGTTTTTCAGCTTTTTGTTCGATCCCCTGATCCCTTGCTGTTGGCAGCCTTTTTTATGAAGTCATTTTTCTACTTTCGAAGACAATAAAAACATTCCAAAGTAGTGCATTTATCTAACTCGACCGTGCTAATCATGTTTTCGGTAAGAACAAGTGATGTTACGAAGTTATGAAATTTGCAACGAACCACAAGTCGAAAGTTGGGGTTTATCGAAATATTCGTTATTCCAAGAACTCATTTGTTCTCTCCAGCAGTATGCTTAGCACTGTTGGATTAGATAATAGTACAACATTGGAAGGTTGTCCTTAACATTGAAGGGAAAAAATGACTTTGAACAAAAGACGTTCGGCCGCGGGGGATTATCAGGGAATCATACGAATAGCCGGAAAATGCGGCTTATACAGCTTTTTGCTCCCGTTCAAGATGTTCATAGTGAAGGATGGTGGGATTACTTACGGATAGGTAGACAGCGTGAAATCCAGATATCTAGAGCTTCAGGATATGAAGCTTTCTTCTGAAGCTGTGATCCCCTCCCCCGCGAAGATGCAATGCATGCGGCCCCCAAGTTTCAGTCAAGCCTGTAGCTTTACTGTTTTGGAAGAAGCCGTGGTGCGAGCCACATTTTCGAAAATTGTTTGTACAAACTTTCCTAATTTTTGTGTAGTGTATCATCTCGCCTTTTACGAAGAGAAAGCCGGTTGCCTCAAGTCTTATAACTCAAACAGACCAGTTGTTCCCGTTCTTGGGCTTGCGTTTGGCCTGTGTACATAATATAATTGAAGTTTCAACATTCACTTTCTCCATAGTTACCCTATCTTGGCGCAACATGTGATGGAGTGCCGTGTTTCGAATGGGGTTTGCAATGTTTTTGGGAGATGAAAAGTGATGAAAATGAGGGTTTACGCATTTACGCAAGAACTAGAAATAAATGGTACGAAGCTTTACCAAGTATTCCAACGAGGGAAAGCTGTTTGCATGTTATTATTTAGCCTCTATTCTATTTTTATATATAGTGAAAATGAATTGCTGTTGGCCTTCTTCGTACTTTGAAAAAAGTCTATCTAACGTTTTTTTTACTCACGTTTTTCCTTTACACCATTTGATCATCCTAGGGTGAGCTTTACCGTACACACGTGCACATGGGTGAACGGTCTCTTCTTTATAAAGCTAAACCTCAGTTAACTTGTTGCTCACTTTTCGATCAGTAAATGTAATGTATGGAAATAGCTCTTGGGTGGCAGGCAGGTTACCTTGTTATTCCAGACAATGGCGAGTGGACGTAATAGGCGCAGCAGGTACTCTCTATGAAGGCGAGAAGTTTTCGCTGCAGTTCCGCTTTTCTCAACAGTATCCTTTCAATTCCCCAGAGGTAGTTGAGCGAAGTGTTATATCAAAGAGTAGGATAAAACATTAGTTTAGGTTATGTTTGTTGGCGAAAATATACCTGTTCATCCGCACGTCTATTCCAACGGTCATATCTGCCTGTCAATTCTTTCGGAGGATTGGACTCCAGCCTTGAGTGTGCAAGCCGTGTGCCTTTCAATTTTGTCCATGTTATCTTCTGCTCGAGAAAAGGTGCCGAAATGACTCTAAATTCTGAATTTTTTTTGTGTTCCGGACTTCACGTTCTTACAAACACTTGCAATAATTTTCCAGAAACGACCGCCAGACAATGCGTTGTATGTACGAACGTGTAACAAAAATCCCAGTAAGACACGATGGTGGTTTCACGGTTAGTTATACTGAGCACAATTGAATCATTAGTAGTCGTTGACTGATAGATCTGTTATCGGTAGTGATATCAGCTTGAATATCGTGCGTATTACTTATAGATGATACGGTTTGACATCAACAACTTATGTCATCGCATCCTGCCAACTTCCCACCATTCTTTTCATGAAGATTTGCAACAATATCAATAATTTTGTGAGTTTTCTCAGCACTACGTCTGTTTGTTTGCAAGATCTAGTGCAAAGCCATTTATGAGAGTTAATGTAGCTTTATTTCTTCAGCTGTAGTCTCTTTAAGTAAATGTACCATTTGTTTAGGCATGTGTTGTGCGGATACTAGTACATCAGCCGTTTCTTATGACCAATAGCGAGAAATCAATGCGGTTCAGTTCGCGAACCAAGTGTATCGCTGCACTCTCGTTATCGGGACCATGCCGTCATGTGTTTTTCACGTTTGTCTCGCCATTTCTTCAGCCTATAAGTCATGTGCGGTGTCTGTGCATCAAACCGTTTCGCAGTCATTTGTAATTACCCCATTGTATTTCAAGGGCCGTATTGAGCTTGAAGCAAACCATAGCATCCGTGATTCAGCGGCTTAGCGCACCTCAGTAGATTTCTACTTGTCCAATCCAGCCGGTTATTTTCATCGTAGCTTACTGAAGATCTTGCTCATTTTGTTGACTCAGTCAATCAATTCCTGCTGCTTTTGTCCTTATCCACTCTTCTCCCACTATCTTCTATGAATATGGGTAAAAATCAATATCTTTCCATTCTCTTCTCTAGTTACATGCTGACCTTCGTTCTTTGAGCTTTGAATGAACAACAAAAAATGCTCTCGTTAGGACTAACTTTTCCAGAATGCTATGTTTATGAAACTCTGAGTGGTCTTGATTGTGATTACTTGTATTTGATCTGCGTAAATCTGTAGATATAGGTAAAATTTCAACTTCTATGTACATATTGCGCCTTTTTTGTGTTTTATGCTGTTAATTGAGTCAATGAAGTTTATACTGACATTGCACGTTTTTTTACTCACTCGGGAAATCAATTTTGATAGTTAGGGTTCGACTAGGTACATGATATGACATAACATCTAGAAAAGCTTCGCAGCTTATAAAAAACCATATGTGCTGGTTTCTTGTCAGTTCACGGTGGTCACTAATCTCGACCCAAAAGCTCCACCCAGATTCTCGACTTCCATGTCTTAGTCGTTTCGTGGTCTTCTCGTGTCGCTGATTCCGAAGATGGAGACCTCCTCGAAAACACCAATAATCCCCGTATCAGAGAATCCGCAAGGCGGTTCTCCGGAACGGTGATTGGATGAGCGCGGACGAATGGGCGGGCATTGGAGGGGCGGTTCTGACTTGGGTTCTTCATGCCTCTTCGCTTTTCCGAAGCGCTTTTCTCGCTTCTGAAGCGACATTTTACGCCGCAATTTCGGCATTGGCTTGATAGGGGGTCCTACTATCGTAAGCTTCTAAAAGCCAAAAACCCTTAACTTAAGTTGGACAGTGCTTTTAAGCCTAAGATACTGTCTTAAGAGTCAACTAGTCTGCAGTTTGGAGTTTTATGGAATCATTTTTGTTGAAGATCCCATTATTTTACCCATAAAACACGTGGCTCAGCAAAAACAAGTAATTCCATTACCTACAGGGTATTCCAAAAATGTGCATCTTGGTTGTTCGCTGACCTTCTTGCTACGATGTCTTTCGTCGATTATAAGTTAACAGTTTATAGGCTTAAATTTTCTCTTTACTCATAAGAAATTCCCATTAGGACGTGCAGCTTACCTCTAGCAACCTTGTTTCAAAAGTAAGCTGCTTCGCATCTTTTCTAGGATATGCAAAATGCAAGGCTAAGCAGATATTCCCAATTAAAAGTTAACTGCTGAAATCGATACTTTTTAAATCCAAAACTAAATTCATGTCCAAAAATAGAAGAAAGTCAGCGCTTTTGTGGTAGAGTCGTGGTAGCAAATTGTGTAGGCTGCCCACTTCGAGCGAAGCTTTCAAACATTGCGCTCAAAATGTAGATCAGTTTGCTTTCAATACTAAATTCTACTAGCTAGCAGGAAAACATGTGTAAAACTTTCTCATGGCAAAAGGTCTGCCCAACTATTACATCTCGCATGTGAATCAAAACAAAAATTAACGAAAAAATAGTAGCAGAAAGAAGACTTCTTGAAGCTGACTTTCCTTTTGCAAAACACCCTGAGTCAAAAAACTAAAACTCGCTTCAAAATAAAACTATGTCGTTTTTCAGGTGGACTTGTGTTCTGCAAAAAAAAACGGAAAGAGGGAAATTTTCCTGGCAAATGATTTTACGATTATTTTGTTTATGCATTTTAGCGCGAGACTGCAGCTCTTCACATTTCTGTATGGCTTACTGCTTTTCGAGTTCCTATAGTATCGCGGTTAACTACCGGCAATCAAGTTTTTTAGACCGAGAAATTTTTTGCGAATTTCTAAGCGTTGTAATCGTAGCTTCCTTCTCTGTGAATAGCTTATAAATGTGTGGTGAAGACTATGCATCAAAGCGCAATTTCTATGACTAGAAATCAGAGCCATATAGGTCAAGGATTCAGAGGTCACCAAATTTCTCAAAGTAAAGAACTTCCGTTCCGCGTAACATATAGCCGGGGAAGTTAGCCACACCATGAGCAATTATTTCAACAGTTCATTCCCATGTGTTTCTACCGAAAAAATACCTTATTTCTCTTATTTTCAAAGATTTTTGTGATTAATCTGTCTCCATTAGGACACTGTAAAAATCTAATGCTTGCAAATCCTTTTTTGTTTTTCTTTCCGAGTATTTAGTTGCAGTATGACATCTATAGCTATAATTGGCGAAGGTGTAATTGGTACATCAACTGCTCTTGCTATAAGAAGGATTCGGCCGGATATAGACGTGAGTAAAAGTATCGCCTCGGTTGATGCTAAGACATCACATATATGTGGGTTTTCAAGGCATTTCAGAGACAAGAGATTTTTCACCAGCAACCTTTTCAAAATTCAATGCCCGAGAATTTTATAGGCGTTAATCACAATACGTCTCGCTGCAAACTGCGACAAAATGCTTTTTTCAGGGTGGAACAAACATTACGTTGTTGTTACATAAGTCTTGTTACACTTTAACTTCTTAGGGCAATAAGTCATACACCTCATATTCTTTACAAGGCTCCAGGGTACATTCGATAGAGCAAAGTCGATCCATTGTTTGCATACGGAGTGTGAGTCCCACTGAAGGCTCATAAAGTCGCGAAAAATTCATATCTTTGTTCAAAAAAAAATCCTACGAATCTCCAACTTGCTCATAAAAAATGCACACTGCATCAGACACTCATATGTAACGTTGCTGTATTTTTTTCTCATCTAGAAATCGAGAAAACAAAAATTTTCTTGTTTTTACAAAAATGAAGCTATGCTGTTTTTATTCATGTAGCTGTACACTACGAGCCCGTGGAAGTGTAACCGTAAAGTTTCAGCTTTTCAGAATTCCCAGTTTTGAGAATTACCTGATTTAGCATTAACACCCGAAAAAAGCTAAAATTGCTATTTCTTGAAGAATAAGGCTTCTGAAAAGCTAAAAATTTACAAGTATACTTCTAAACGCTTGTAGTATACAGCTACATGAAAACAGCATAGCTCCGCTTTGTAAAAACAAAGAAAATTTTCATTTTCTCAATTTCTAGATGAGGAAAGAATACCGCAACGGTAAGTATGAGTGTCTGATTTGGTGTGCGTTCTGTATGAATAAGTTGGAGATGCAAAGAATTATTTTGAACAACAATATGAATTTTTCCCAATTTTTTGAGCCTTCAGTGCGACTCACACTCCGGATGCAAACTTACGGTGGTTCGGAGCTGCTGCAAAACTTTGCATACCATTTTGTAGAGCTTGCTTTGCTCTATCGAGTGGTACCCTGGAGCCCCGTTAAAATTATGAAGTTCACGACTTATCGTCGTAAGAAATTGAAGTGCAACAAGACTTGTGTAACCACCTAATACTTCAATGTTTGACTGCAGCACATCGAAGGCTGGGATGGTTTTCGTAATGGAAAGATGATTTCAATTCCAATCATGAAAGATTTCGAATTATTATTAGGCTGGAAAAAATGAATGTCGCTTTTTTCGGATTTTTCAGCTAAAATTAGTATTTCTCATCGAACGCTCAAATTTCATAATTGAGGTCTCGCATTTGTAGTGTACACAACTGCATATATGGGCGGAGCCCACAACTACTAGGGGCGGACTTTACCATTTTGCGTTTTTCAATTTTCCTGACTTCTAATCGCGAAAAAATATGGAAAGTTCACATGTGTCTGCTACAAGCTTGAGCGAATGAGAGACTCGTGGGATTTTTTTGGAGCGAAAATCCGATTTTTGGCGCTATGAGTTGATCTTATATTTTGGCTTTGAACTTTGCATAAACCACGATTTGAGCCAATATTCGGATGTCATTTTGTCGAGCTTGCTTTGCTCTATCGAACGATATACAAATACTTTTTTTCCGATTCGTCCTGTTGCTCTGCAGTTAAAAAAACGGCATTCTTTTCTTTCCAGCTTAATAGCTTTCTGAGTTCGGTGTATAGATTCAAATATCATGACTTATAATAAGCGGCTTAATCTGAAGTTGTGTGGAGTTTGTCCGTTACGAAATTACAGTGAGGAATGATTTACATTGCTTAAATGCATGTGAGAGTCGCAAAGCAAGTAAGGTTCATTTTTGTAATTACTTTGCGGTCTCCTCCATCAAAGAATGGTGAAGGCCAAGATCATTACGTAAGTTTACCTATACTTTTCATGATGGCCAGTGCGAACCTCTGCGAAGCAGAGGTGAAGCACTGGTAGTCTACTATATCCATTACTACCACGTACAATCTCTAGCTAGTAGATTACATAAAATTGTAGGGGGGGAGGGGAGGAGGGGAGGAGAGCACTACTGCATGTTTTTTCCATTGCTACTTTTACAATGATACAATTAAGTTTAGATCACAGTCTTCCATGACCGGCCTTTTGAGGATACATGCTCAGCTATGCCAGCTGGCCTATTCAGATTTGATAATATAGATGACAGGTGGGTACTGTGCTGAATCGACCTTCAAAAGTCAGAATAAGGAGAGGCATGATTTTCAAAATATTAGGGTAATTTCATATACGTGATTTTTGAAAAAGCTTCAGAGAAGATGCCAGGGCAACTTTTGAATGGTACGCTGATTTGTGTCGTCAAATTCCTGGCATTGTAACCGGCGTCAAACTGTTGTCAGGTCACATTCAGTCTGATTCTAAAGAAGAGTTGGATAGACAGGTAAGGTGTTGATCTTGCACTACCTAGCTCTGATATGTAACTCCATAGGTCTAGGAAGAAGCTTATGGAGACATCGTATATAATTTTCGTTTTATGAGCGACAGGGAAAGGAACAGCTTGTTTCCGGATCCATCAAAGTGAGAATTTTGATACATAAAAGAATTTCGTAAAGATGGAATCAATGGGGTGGGGGGGGGGGGGGGAGGGAGGGACAGGATCCCATGTAATGTTTAATTCAACTGGCTTGGCTTCGGGAAGGGGAGCTTTATGACCTAATTAAGGCCGCTCGCGCCCTGGCGCACCTGCGTCTCTCTCGCTCGAGTGCTCTCTGTTCATTAGCTATCCTTGGTTATGGCACGAAGCCCCTCCTTCCCGAAGCCAAGCCAGTTGAACCAAATGGTATGGCATGCATCCACGTGATCTCAAAAATAATTTGAATAATGAAAAAGCTTCAGTGGGCAATATAAAACAAGACTTTTGCTGACCATGTCATTCTCCAAAGCTAGCAACTTGTACTTTTGGTAAGCAGATGTCTTGAGAAGTTTTTGCGGAATTCCCATAAAAATGATATCTGCCCGCGGTGGTGTAGCGCCGAATAAATCATTTTCTTTCTTGATTATATCTATGGATAAATATTGTATTTGAACATGTCAGAGATTCCGATTAAAACAAAACTGAAAAGGTGCAAAAGAATTTAAAAATGACAATGATTTGTAGAAACATCAAATCAGCGCCTTTTCAAATTGGGGCGTATTTTTTTCATCTAGGTAAAGAAACCGAAAAAAACTAAAATTATCTTTTAGTGGACGTTACCAATATGAGCTATTGAAACCTAAAAACCGCTTTTTGAATTTTTCTCTCAATTTTTGATCAAGATTCTTGTTGCCATTATGCCAACAAGAATCATAATCGAATATCTTAAGAAAGCGCAAGATTTCTTCTTCTATCTTGTATCAAACTGCACAATTTCTTTTGAAGCTGGAGAATTAGGAAAATTCATAGTTTTTGTTGCAATTTTATGTATTAGGTTGTTGCATAAGTTCTGTCCGATTTTTTTTGCCTCATGTTTGAAGCAGCTGTTCTAAGAGAATCATCTCGAATGCGGTATTGTTAGTATCATTAAAAAGTGCTTTTCTTGCGCTTTCTAAAGCATATCAAATTTCAACAATTTTCTTAGTGTAAGGAGATTTCAGGCCTAAAATCTCCAAGTGGCCGAGGTACGTTCTTACCCTAGAAATACGTTCTCGCGAGAAAATCTCCAGAATGCGCCCTTCATGTCAAGTTTTTTAATTGGTTGCGGAATAAGATTGTGATAGGCTAGCATACGCATAAGTTCAGTTTCATGAAGAAAACGTCTTGCTAGTAAAATTTATTGTCAAACATCAATTTTCTGTACAGATGTTTTACATGCTATAACTTTCTGCGAATAGAAGTAATCGACGACTCCAAAGTGGGAAATGCTAGAGCAAAGCAAGGGCTAGCAGAGATCATCCACCAATTTTATTTCGGTGCTCACGTCAACTGTAAAATTTTCATAACTTGTAAATAGGCATGCACACATGCGCTGAAGCGAGGTCAAAAAGTGGCTAATTTTTTGTTCGGTCAGAAAATCTCTCGGCAGCGCAGACCCTTGGGGCTCTTTCATGGTGCAAAATAATCTAAGAAAGTTTATTTATCCATTGTTGGACAAGATGCCTATCAATTCTCATAAGGGAGCACTGCCATCATAACTTATAATAACGGGCTAAGGATGTTTACGTGACTTTGTGTGTGTGTGTGTGTGAGTGTGTCTGTTACGAAATTCGTAGAGCGTGTCCCAGCCGACCTCCTGGGCTCAAATTTTGCACAGTGCATGCTATTCGCATGAAAGTCCAACATGCAAAAGCACGAGCAGATTCGTTCAGTGGATCCCTCAGAAATTGCGCGCCAAACGGGTCCACCTGACTTCTGTACCGCAAAATTCGGTCCGTATCATTACTTTTTGCAGAGTCGCGGATGAGTTTGGTAAGCAAATGTGCAAGCGCTAGAGCTTAGCAGGAAAAGTGGTCGAAAGTTTACTACATAACGAAAACGGCGCCAGAAAGAATTGGTTGTGTAAATGGTCAATTTGCCAACGTTCTAGCTAAGCGTTTGAGAAGATTTTCACACAGAGATATAACTCACGGTTACTATTACCTCTATGGCGACTATCAAGCCATGACAGATCCGAAAACCTATTCAAATTTGCGTTTTTCTTCCTGCGAAAAGTTTCATCCACGCGAAATCACCGATCTCACGTGAAAAAACTTTCTAAATGAGTGGTTGTTTACATTCTATTCGTGGTAGTCGGCATAGCGCGGTGAGTTCCAGTGCCACGATTTTACGAGAATGAGTAAGGCACATAGATAGTAGAGCCAGTGCGAGCCTCTGCGAAGCAGAGGTGACGCACTGGTGTCAAATAAGAAAGGTTTGAAGAAAAACGCTGTAAATTTTTTGCATTATTGCTTCTTCTGCAGCTGATAGCGAAGGAATTGCTCATCACGAAGAATCTAAGATCTTAAAAAAAAGTTGACTTTGAAAGAAGTTATGACATTTTGAACTCAAAAAATTCAAATCGGACAGAACTTATGCAACAACCTAATATTAATCTGATAATTACGGCTAGGAAGGGCAAGAGCTGAATAACTTTTTTTTACTATCAGATATGCAATACATTTCTCTTCTTTTGCTGCCGAGGGAAATCGTTACGTACCTTTCCTAAAAGAGCAGTTAGTGAAAAGTGGAGTAATTTTCAAGCAAAGGAAGATTGCCAGCGTTGTGGAGGTGAGTTAAGACCAGGACCAAAAGACAACGTTTTCAAGGGTTTTTTGTAGCTTGCTGACGAAGGTTTCAATGTTGTAGTAAATTGTGCAGGACTGAATGCTGGTAAGTTGGCTGGAGATGATTCTACCGTGTATCCTATTCGAGGAGTCGTGTTTCAGGTGTTTGGAATTACATTACTGTGTTTGTAACATAATGAGATTTTATAGGTTGAAGCTCCATGGCATAAGCACTTCAACTACCGTGGTCTGGCTACTTTTACCATTCCAAAGTAAGATATCAATTTTTATTTTTTTACAAAAGTCTCAGAAAAAGGGTGGTATATCACCGCCGATAAACACTAAAGAAATTGAATTTTTGAAATTTGAAAAATTCAATTTAACGAAGTTTGCTATATTGGTCATACGTCAGTAAATAAAAATCTATGACAATCGTCCATCAAGCAAGACTCTGAAAAAAAGTCCCTGTTCTAAGTTCATAGTGTACAGTTTACATTAGATGTGTATGCACAAAATGTTTGCAGAAATCACAGTGTCGTACTCGGTACGGTAAAGGAATCGAGTCGCTTCGATACATTAATCACGGAAGAGGACAGACGCGACATTTGGCAACGCTATGAAAAGCTACATCCTCCTATGAAAGTAAGTTTTGCCATTAACCAAAGCCTATGCCCGGATTTTTGTGGATCCACCCATTCAAAGCGATAACAGTTCGTGAACACGATTTCTTACTAGCAAGGAAAGCATGTTTAGTCGAAGCAGTCTTTATGGATGGGATGTATACCGTATTTTAGGGCATAAAACACTAATTTCAAATCTGACTTCATTGCGTGCGGAACATTTGTGGACAAGGAGTTTTGAGCAATTAATGGAGCAAAAATCAAATGTGCAAGAAGAACAAAAATAGCCGTAATATTTTTGCTAGCGCCCTAATGGGACAGTGACGATCATCAAATCACCTTATTCGATAAATACTCTAAGATAAAAACCAAACTATTTACCACACTTGCCTGCTTTATTTGAGCACATGCAATTTTTTGCTCCGATACGCTCATACCTGCTCGTCCATAGATGTTGCGCAGATAGGGAGCCAAATCTGGAATTAACTTTTTATGCCCTTCAATAAGGCATACATCTAAAAGGCCACTTCGATTAAACATACTTCCCTTGTAAGAAGAAACTTTCTCGAAAACGAATTTTAGCAATACGATGATTAATTTGTTGGCAACGGACTTTTTTCTCAACAATTATGAAGCTAAAGCAAACATCCTCCTAGCACACAAAATCGACTTCGTAGAAAGTGATACAACATTCATCCACCTTTTGCTGCTTCCCAAGGCGTGAGTGGCAACAACAAAGCGACTGATTGAAAATATCACGATCCCTTTTTTTCATCCCGAAAAGGATGCTTAGACAGTTTGTAAAAATCAAAAAATCATTCGAATCATTCTCGAGCGAACGAATTAGGGAGCCAAAAAATAGCATCTCGCTTAGGCATGTCACACAAGCAATATCCCAAACTTTGTGCAAATCTGTGAAGCAAGCAATTTCAGTGAAAAAAATTGAACAAGATCTTTGGGAATTTCGCACGATTATCTATCTACCCAGGTGATGCGAGACAATCATCGCTTTCGTTACAAGATATTGGAAATCTTTAGTTCACTGAGTTGGAGGGCGTCATTATGGATTTCCATCATTTTCCGTGGGTATCACATTTCTCTAATTCGTAAGTAAAGCCATCCCTAAAATGAAGTCACCACATAGCGCAACCTTTTTCATTATAGCTCATTTTTGGTCTTTGGAGCAGCTTTTTTGATAAATTTTTGCACTCCACTTTGATCAAGCTGAATTTTTTCCCCTCCATACTCGGAATTTGCCGATAGTTTGAAACTTGCAATGGAGGCTGTGCCCATTTATACCCACGCCAAGTTAATTATTGCCAGGGCTAGGCAAGAGCTGGCCAGGGAAATTTCAAACGAGGTTCCCTTTGATTTTGGGAATTTCGCACGAAGTCCCCTTTGACCCTAAACCCAAGACGTAAAAAAAACCCTAAAAAACGAAACGTCGACTAAAAAATACGTCGCAACTTCAGTGTCTTTTCGGCCAGAAGAACGATAGCCCCTTTGGACTGAATACCTGGTGAATGAAAGTCCTTTCCAAATGTAATCTGCTCTTTTGAACATAATTTTGGAGAAGAACGAATGTTATGTGAAAGAAAGAAAGCGCCCAATGAGCTTTCCTATTATGTTACTGTAGTCGCTGTGATTTAAGGGTGCAAAAGTGCTTGGTGAATGGTGCCATTTACGGCCCGCACGCCCTAGTATCCGAGTGGAGCGTTTAGAGGGACGAACAAAAGATGGGAAGCCATACACAGTAAGTAACCACTATGTTTCATTGATTTATGCATTGCCCAACGTACATATAAGTTCAGGTTGTGCATCATTATGGTCACGGCGGTCATGGATTTACTGTTGGTTGGGGAACTTCACTCCGAGCAGCTGCACTTGTCGAGAAAGCCTTGAAAGAAAAAGCGAAAATCTAGACAATCACGATTGGAAGAATGCCGATCATTATGGCACTTATGAGTGGCATGACTTCTACCTCATGCATAGTGCATATCTTCAGTGGTATAAATACCGCCATAATTTTACGGCAAGCACAGCGTTCAATACCTCAAATATATATGTCTACTCTTATCCACCTGTTGATGTATATCCAGTTTTCAAATTTATCTTTTTCAATCAACATTACCGAATAAGGCGTTTTTAATACTTGCTTCTCTTATTTCTCTGACAAATAAACTAGATAACATTAAGAGTTCCATAATAGCCGTATGGCCTAAGGCATACCTCACACGATTTTAGTCTCTGCGCGATCTGGCACTGCTAAGACTTCATAACTGGTCCTAAACGCACTTTGCTTAAGCCAGACGTGGTGTATTTGCTATGACCTATGGAATCTACAGCGCCATGCATTTAAACCCACCATTATACTAGGGTCCGAATCGAATAGAAATTCGATCATTCGAATAAAACATTCGAATATATTCGTATTCGAAATTCGATATTCGGAGTTCTTCCATTTTCGAATAATATTCGAAACTCGAATAATTGAGAAAACGGAATTTCGAATAAAATTCGAAAACTCGAATAATCAAAAAACGGGGTTTCGAATATTATTCGAAAACTCGAATAATCAAAAAACGGGGTTTCGAATAGATTTTATTCGAATGTTTTATTCGAATGTTTATTCGAGTTCGTATTCGAATGTACGCCTTATTCAGATTATTCGACTTTGTTGCAGAGCCAACTGCTGAGTATCAAGCTCACTTCGTCCGCTTTTTTTTCGCAGAACTCGGTAATGCATCTCTTGCAACCGGCATACCTTTGAACTGTATGGAGAGTCGTATTCTTCCGACTGCTTGCTACAGTAAAAAATCATATGTGGATTTTGATTGATGTTTTTTCAATCAATGAGATTGTTCGCACTGCTATTGGCACCAAATCAGCAAAGAAGATATCAAATTCAAGCTCATGTTCTGAGTTCATACTGAATTGAAATGGCTGTTCTTCTTTCTTTGCATTGCTCATGCTTGCGGTACGCAAAGCCCACACTAGTGAGCACTTTGCTCGCATAAATCATTGCAAAACTGCCTATTCGTTACATTGGAGTTTTTTGCGAATGGTGTATATTGGGTAAAGGACATCGCAGTTGTAGTGCAGGATTAGACGGTTTAGATCGCCGTACGCGATTTGCCAGTTACGAGACGTCTTCAGATGTAATGGCAGCTTACCACAAATGTTTACCGTGTACAACATACTAAAAAGATAAATGCCCTGCATTCTGTACTTTCAGAATAGGTTTTGGACAATTTGAGTATTGCCATACCACGTCGCCACTGAAATGCCTGCAGTACATATGCCCGGGGTTGTAGGGGCATTCGTGCTCGTTTCGCGGAGGAAACCACATGCCTTCGTCCACGACTAGCTTATACCACACAAGACGAAAGTCTCCGATGAACAGGCAATGTATCGTAGCATTTGTGGAATTTAAGTACATATGTGGCCACCTTATTGCTTCAAAAGATCGCACACCTAGCGCTATGAATCCGAACAGCTCCTTAGGTGCTTACACGAAGTTGCAATGTTTCTCATTTTTAGATTTTAGCTCCAGCCAATTTTATCTTTACTCTGCTAAACGTCTTTGAAATCTAGTGGAAGTCTGACAAGTAAGGTCTGCTGTCCAACAAAGCCGCAGGATCAAAGTGTACAGATGCGGTTCTTACCCGTACGGTGGAAGAAAAGTATCCCAATCATGTAGAAAGTAGAGCAAGCCCTTTGCTTTTACATTGTTGATGCTGATAAGAAATAAATTTAATTCTGGTGTACATCAATTTCTTTCAGACCATATGAAGAAGAATCTTTTGGGCACAGTATAAAAATTCATATCGACTGCTTTTTTGGATCGTTCAATACTGGGTAAAATATGACTTTTTGCTGATGTATAGACTAGTTGCCGACCGATTTTATCAATTTTTGGAAAATCTTGAGCTACGAAGTTGGGAGTTGGTATAAGGGGGTAAGTGAGGGTGCTGCTTATGAACAAAAACTTACCTTATCGATTTTATTGATTTTTGGAAAATCTTGAGCTACGAGTTTGGGAGTTGGTACAAAGGGGTAAGTGAGGGTGCTGATTGAAACCGAAATCTATTTTATTGATTTCAGCAATTTTTGGAAAATTTTGAGCTAGGAGTTGGTATAGGGGATACTAAAGGGCTGATTATGATTGGATCGGCTCTAGCCAGATATGTCGGCAAGTTTGAGATGTGATTGCTTTAGTTATTCGATAAATCATTCGAATATTTATTCGAAATTCGACTTCCAATGTTCGAATATATTCGATATTCATTCATTCGATATTTTTGTTTTTCCGAATTTATTCGAAATTCATTCATTCGATATCTTTCATTCGATGAAAAATTATCGAATTACCCAAGTATACCCACCATGATTAAAGGCAGCGTCCGGGCAGATTTGGACATTTTCGGATACTATCATAATCTAGGGTTTGGTGGAAACCAATGTCTCGATGACGATAGTGGAGTCGTTGGAATAGTTTATTGAGAGCATTTTTAGCATTTTTTCAGTAAACCTCAAAACCTCGAAGTATAGAATTTTCTAATTTTCTGCGTACTAAACATCTGGATGTTTTTGCAAAAACTGCTAATAGGATTGAGACGAACCCGGTGTTGAACCGGGGAAGGCAACCTATAATACAATCGCGGGCTTCTTATATAGGTAATAAGGCGGAGCTGACCCGTGCACAATCAGACTGTCCAAGAAATATTGGGTTGATGCAGAAATAATGAGCGTTTTCCCATTTTTCACTTTAACTTGCTATAACTTTCTACAAAGTCTACATTTTGAAATGTGATAAAGACCATCAGATGCAGCGAACCTTTCGCAGTACAGCGCACATTGAACTATACTCATATCTCATATGGGCAGAAAAATATGGATCGAAAAACAAAAAGAGTTTTTTTCTGAAGCCTTGTTTTTTGACAGAACATAACTCCTTTCATACTTTGTTGTTACCATTTACAAGCAGCCTATCTTGTAGCCACAAGCCAGTAGTACAAATATACATGGAAATGGTTCAAAGAAAAAAGATTAGCGAAGAGGGAAAAATCGAAATTCAAAAATATCAACTTTTTTAGCATTTTTTCAGTAAACCTCAAAACCTCGAAGTATAGAATTTTCTAATTTTTTGCGTACTTAACATCTGGATGTTTTTGCAAAAACTGCTAATAGGATTCCTACTCTCACGCTTACAGAAATGAACAAAGTTTGAGCGACTGCATTTTACAAAAGAAAGTTATGGGCTCTAAAATGACCACAACCAGTACCCATGTTAAGCCGCCGATATCTCACTTTGGATAACTTGAAAAAATATGATTGATTATGCATAATGTAGACAATTTCCATTACATATAGCGGATAAATTTTTGATAAACCACCTTCATTCGCGCTCAAATTCTGGCCAGGAAAATAAATGCAACGAAAATCTAATTTTGGGTGCGATTATGTGAAGCTCTATAAATTCTTAACAGAGTGGGCTAGAAGTTCCTTTTGAACATCGTCAGATAGAGCATGAAATGAGCTTTCTAACAATGTGCTAAAACCGTTAAAAATAAAGATGTTTGATGGAGAAAAGTTGTCCCGAAAAAAGTCCTAGAAAAACGCTCATTATTTTTGCACCAACCTAATATATGCAAGAAAGAGGATGCCGCGGCCTGGCGCGGCCCCTGAAAGATAAGTGCCACTCACTAGTGAGTGACTCGGCACTTAAATATAAGCGGTTGAGGAATATAGCCTATGGGGAATACCCGTAAGCTATTAGGATTAGAGAATTGTTGAGGTTGATGTTACATAAATCATCAACACTCCGGACGAGCATGCAAAAGGGCGAAATCTGTTGAAATGTAAATTAAATACAATCAAAACCTCCTAAAAGCATTTGTACTTAGAAATTGAGATATAGCTGTGTTCATGAGTGTAAGCTAGACTGGTTGTTGAGGTTGATGATTCATAGATCATCAACACTCCGGGCGAGCAAGCAAGAAGTTAATCTGGTAGAAATACAACATGCATAGAATTGTGTAGACTCAGACATACTAATGGAACTATAGACGGAAGAGAGTCTACGGTGAACAGTTGTAGTGGTTGCTCGTTGCTGTTCCGTAGTGTGGCTTCGCCTTTCGCCGTCTTCTCTTCTTCCTCGTCGGAATTGCTCTCGTCGATTTTGAGTTGACAGGATCGTTGTCGGTGATTGTCTTCGTGATAGCCGGAGTTTCCGTGTTCAGATATTCGTGATGTGTGACCTTCGGCATGTCCTTCATCTTTATCTTGCTTGTGTCGTCGGTTGAAGTGTTCTGGCAAGAGTTCCTTTCGCACTCCTCGTGTTGGAGCCGGAACTAGAGCCTAAGGTCTCGGACAGAGTTCACGCGATTTGGTCGTTGCGATTCAATCGCTAAAGACAAGTGTAACAAATTCATTGCATGCCGATCTTCTTGTAATTCGGTTGTGATAGTTTTCCAACACGACTAATCGTGACTAACTATCACAACCGAAATACAAGAAGATCGGCAGGCAATGAACTCGTAACACTTGTCTTTAGCGATTGAATCGCGACGATCAAATCGCGTAAACTCTGTTCGAGGCCTTAGGCCTAGTTCCAGCTCCAACATGAGGAGTGCGAAAGGAACTCTTGCCAGAACGCTTCAACCGGACGACACAAGGCCTAATATGCAGCGAACTTTAACCGACCATTGTTGTCTGTCTGCTTTAGCTTCGCGATTAGCAGCAGCTGTCCGGGTCCTCTTTTTCGATAACGACTTCGCGGTCATTTGAGATGTTACTTCAGCATGCGCTCGGAAGATTCTTCTGTTGATTCCACCGGTAGCGTTTTGATTGAGAATGGTGAATGTCTTCTGTTGTGAGCCATTTGGGGTGTCATTGAGGGTGAGAAGCGAGTTTGGAGGCTTCCTGCATCGTGGATGTACAACCAAAAGTGCCAACGATCTCTGTGCTCACGTTGTTGCGGCTTATACCGGATATGAGATATCCAGAGATGGTTGGGGTCAATATGAGCCCGGAGGGAAGCTTTCGGACTATTTCGGTGTGAACAGTGACGAGGTTGAGAAGATCTTGTCCAATAATAATGAGATCGGGCAAGACGCTTTTATGACAGCGTATCTTGAACTACCTTCAAGTTCTTACTAGAAATGAAATGGACATCTGCAT